GGGGTAAGCAACAGACCAGCAGAAATTTAACAGTGAGACCCAGGAGCATGCTAGCCATAGTGGACCTTGATAAACTCTCACACATCCTTGGTGGTCTGGAAGGTGTGCACGTGTCCTAGGTATTCACTGCCTGAATGTGAGGACTTGCACACAACAGAAAGTAAGTCATAGCAGACTTGATGTTTTGTTCCCCAACTTGTACACAGATCATTTGGCAAAAAGATTTTCTAGCTACCAAAAGCACAATCCATAAAAGAAAAAAAACTAAGAAATGGACTTCATCAAAATTTAAGATGTGTTTCAAAAAAAACACCATTAAGAAAAACATGACACAGACTGAGAAAATATCCTTATACATCATACATCTGATCAAGAATTCTTGTTCACAGCAAGAACTCTTATAACTCAATAATAACTTTTTAAAAAGCCAATTAAAAATGGGCAAAAGGTTGGGGCTCCTTGGTGGCTCAGCTGGTTGAGTGGCCAACTTTGGGTCAGGCCATGATTTCACAATTTGTGAGCTCAAGACCCATATCGGGCTCACTGCTGTCAGCGTAGAACCCGCTTTGGATCCTCTGTCATCCTCTCTCTCCACCCCTCCCCAGCTTTCACTCTTTCAAAAATAAACATTTTAAAAAATGGGCAAAAGATGTGAATAGACATCAAATAGACATCTATTGAATAGACATATTGAATAGACAATAGAATAGGAATGGCTAATAGCTACAAGAAAATGTGCTCAACATCAGTAGTCATTAAAGAAATGCAAATTAAAATCACAATGAGCTACTACTGCATGCCCAGTAGAATGACTCTAATCAAACGACAAACAATAGCAAGTACTGTGGAGGGTCTGGAAAAACTGGAACCTTCATACAACACTTGTGGAAATTTAAAATGAGACAGCCACTTTGGAACACAATTTAGCAGTTTCTTAAAATGTTAAACATAAATTTAACATAACCATTCATCAATTCCACTCCTAAGTGTCTCCTCAAGAGAAATTAAAATCTGTGCCTACACAAAGCCTCGTACCTAATCTTTCATAGCAGCATTATTCATAACAGTCCTCAAGTGAAAACAATTAAAATGGCTATCAACTAGTGACTGGATAAACAAAATGTAGGATATTCATATAATGGAGTATTATTCAGTCATACAAAGGAATGAAGTACTGATACCTGCCACAACATGGATGAGCCTCAAAAACATTTTGCTAAGTGAAGCCAAACGAAAAAGGTCACATACTGTATGATTCATTTATATGAGCTGCCTAGAAAAGGCAAATTTATAGAAATAGCAAGCAGAATAATGGTTGCCTGGTTCTAGAGATAGGACCTGAGACTAACTGCATATGGTGGGCACAGGGATCTTTTTCAGGTAATGGAAATGTTCCAAAATTGGATTGTGGTGATGTCTGCAAAAATTCTGTACATTTACTAAAATTTATTGAATTATACACTTAAAACAGGTGAATATAATGTAATGTAAGGTGAATCATACCTCAACTCAATAAGGTAGTATTTTTAAAACTCCACATGGATTCCAACTATTTATATCCACCAAAATTACTATTCCTTTAATCTCTGATGGTTTTTAAAATGACAAAACTTTTCCCTAATCATTCCTGCTCTGCAATCAATTTTTTAACTTCCAATTTTTTAATTTTTAACAGGTTGTGAAAGCTAATTCTCAGAACTTTGATCCATTTTCTTTAATCTATATAATCAAGATGACAATTTTGATAATGACTTTCTTTCATTCTCCAAAAACCCAATGAGTTGATGTAATCAGGCAAAATGAATGATCTAATAACTCAGTCTATAATACTACTTTACAAAGCTGTAATGATTCTAAAGCTCCCTAAGTCTGTTGAAGAAATAAAAATACCACCTGTCAAATAAAATGATTTATACATTCTCTGGTATGTACAGTATAAATCATTGTCTAACTCTGGCATGATACCCACTTTTACATCATAGGTTTTTAACCCTTCTTTTGCCTTCTTCACACAGAGAAAAATAATTTACATTTTCTCTTCACTAAAGTTGGTTTTTCTGCTCCTCAAAAAGTCCCAAATACAGCACCAATCTCTTTCCACAGATTCCAGGAATAAAGATGTCCTCCAACTCAACTGTTCCCCAGAATACAAGGGGAACTTCTAGACAACTTCTATGTGTTCCCTGTATTTACGTCATGAAGAAAGAAATCATGAAAGACTTACATCAACAGTTCCTTTCTCCATTGATGATCAGATACATTCCTGATCATATTCCCTCCCTCTATTTTCTGTTATATTTCCAAGTCCCACCAGTGGCTTTAAGGAATACCTGGCTTGGGCTGTGTTTGATCCACATGGGTCCTGATGGTAGGTCATGTTCCATCATTATTTCCATCCAATCTTAAAAAAGAGAAAAAGGAGCCTCTCAATCTGTGGTTTATGGTTCAAACCTTGAAAGCATTTTTTAAAAAGATATATATAAATATGTTTATAAATATAAAAATAAATGCAAAATTTTAATTTCATGTCAGTCTTTAGGCTTTAGTTTCATTCCAAGCATCTTCTTTCCATATATTTCTAACTGTTAAATTCTGGGAAAATTAGTTACAACCGAATATTCCTTATATTCACTCAAGTATGTAGGTAGATTTTTTTTTTTTCCAAGAAGCCAACTCTTATCTGGCCTAACAGGGATCTATTTAAATAAAAAATTAAGTCAGTAAATCCAACAAATGCCTAATGAACACCTACTGCTTAAAAAGCCCTGGATGTTTAGAAACAAATCAGGAATAATTTCCACCTTGAAAGAAAATGAAGCATAACTAATATAATTTAAATCAGATTGGGATGAGTACATCAATATTAAAAAAAAGAAAGCCATGGAAACAGAGGTTGCATCTGTGAATAGCAGATTTCAAAAAGTTGACTTGATAAAAAGTAATGCTTCAACTGGAATGGAATTGGGAATGGGAGGTAGTAACAGAATCCTGTGGAAGAAAGCCAACTGATGTGAGGTATGGATATAGTATCAGGTAAGTAAGCACATATTGGGAGACAAGGCTGAAGTCTGATTAAGATAATACTAGCTAGTATTTACTGAGTATTTACTATGTGTCAAGTACTATTCAAAGCATTTTATATGTATTAATTTATTTGATTCTCAGAACTCTATAAGGAATATACTATTATTATTCCCATTTTAAAGATGACAAAACTGAGGTAGAAAATGGTTAAATATGTGCTCATGGTTACATAGACACAGTTAAAAGTTCGAACCACATTCATTATAAAAGCAGTTAACAGGGATTTTAAATATCTGTTATTAATTCTTGGGCCATCCTCAAGACTTTGCTCAAATGCCTTCTTCTCTAACGAGCCTTTCTTGATACCCCCAACTGAAAAGTATCCCTTTCTCCTCTAAGCCTCATAGCACTTTATCAATCTTATAACAACAGCTTATGAACAAAATCTTAATATTTGGCCTCTGGCATTACAGATTTTATGTGCATCATTCTCTCGTTTTTATTCTGCTTTAACCTGATCCATTTCTATTTTCCACAAGTCCTAGAACAGTGCTTGGAGCGTTATAATGCTAGCTAAATCTGTGGAGCACTTACTGTTTGCAAGGCATCGGGCTAAGCATTTTAGAGGATTTATCTCACACACAAAAAAAACCCAGCAACCCAATTCCTACTTCACTGCATTCAAGAGCTATTTTTAGCCCCTTCTGTCACAGATAAAAAATACTAGATGCGCCCTAAACTCAGTAAACAAAATGAACATGGTCCCCACTCTCAAGAAGCTTACAGTCTAGGAGGTTGCTACTATTAGTATCCCTACGTATACAGAAGAAGAAAAGCGAAGTTCAAAGAAGTAACTTGTTCGCCCAGAATCAACACAGCAAAAAAGTGGCAAAGTCTGAATTCAAACTCAGCTCTCGAGACTGGATATTCAGGACCATGTGCGCCTAACCACTAAGTTCTAAAGGAGGCAATAAAAACCATTTACTGGAGGAAAAGTTTTAGAATATTTTATACTACGCTGGAAATATCCCAATGATAATGAAGACTTTTACTTAATTTCCTTCTGTGAGAGGAAAGCAGGAAATGAGCCACAGTGCAGATGGAGGTTGCAGTGGTATCCTGGTGGCCCAGAACTGCTGATCAAGCCATCTGCTGAGGAGACGAGGTCAGCATTGATTTCCTCGTGTCCCTTAAAATGACCCCTAATGAGCAGTATCCCTTAAAGTGGTTCTTCCTGAACGTCAAGGCTTTGCTGTGCTGGCTGTGCGCAGTGTGGTGTAGCCCAGTCGCTAATTAGCAGCGAGACCTTGGGCTATACCTTCTATCAAATAACCCAGAGGTGAGGAATGGAGAGGAAGAAAACGATGCATAGCTTCTTACTTAAACGTTGCTGCAACTATTCTTGAAAGCTGGGTTCAACCCCCCAAGAGAAGAGGCTTCCAAAAATGCGTGAGTCCCTACTCTCCACCGGAGAAGTTAGAAAGCCGCCACGATGAGACTACGGAGCTGTACGTAGAACTCAGATGCCCCTCCGGCCCTGAACACCTGTCTTCTGGCGGAGGGCCCCGAGTCCCACTGCCCACAGCCGGCGGGCCACACTCTTCTCCAAGCGCCACCTTGGCGGCCTCACTGTGTGGCCTCACCTCATCTCAAATAAAGTTTTTAGAGTAGCGGTATCCCAAACTATGGACCAGGCAGAAAAAGGCTCCTGGAGGCAGGTGTCTTATTCCCCACAGTTTCTTAGCCCAACAGGCGACCAACTAACTTTACTCCGAGTCCATCACGTAAAGCGCTGGAGAGGACCTCGGAGGACATGGCCCCCAGCCCAGGGGTCCCACCGCAGGCGCAGACTGGCCGGCCCGGGCCCTGGTTCGACTCAGACTTCCACGCCCCGCACGCCCCCAAGCCCCGCCCCTGCGCCCGGCAGTTAGCCCGGCAACAGGCGCTCCCGGGCCGCCGCCAGGACGCAAAAGGCGTGGTCGGCGCAGGCCCCAGGCCCAGCCCCCCGCCAATGGCCTGCTGCGCCGGCGCCGGGTTCTCCAGGTCCAGCCTTCCCTCTCCAACACAGGGCTGTGCGCATGCGCCTGGAAAGGCGAGTGAGTGAGTGAGTGAGGGCCCCCTACCGAGGGGAGGGGGGGAGACGGAAATGGAGGGAATCTGCTCGCACCAGCTGGCCCCCGGACGGGCACCGGCCCGAGGGCGCTTTGGGGGCGAAACTGGGGGCGGTGGTCGCCGGGGAAGTCGAGGCTGGGCTCACACCCGCAGCGGGAGTAGGGTCGCGGCGGCCCGCTGACCAGCCCGTGTTTGTGTGTATGTACCCGCGCAGGGAGATATGGAGAACTGTTTGGCGGCCGCGGCGCTGAACGGGGTGGACCGACGTGCCCTGCAGCGCACGGCTAGGCTGGGTCAAGAAGTGCTGGAGCGGGCCAAGAGGAGGGCGGTGGACTGGCATTCGCGGGAGCTCCCCCAAAGCAGCGCGGGGGTCACTTCCCGGGAACAGCCTGACCGAGAAAGACGGCCAGCAGCCGGCCCCGAGCGCCTTCTCCCGGGAGAGGTGAGGGCTCCTGTGCTGGGGGACCAGCCCATTCATTCGCTCCTGGTGGCCTGCTGGCAACCTGGGCACGCCCAGCAGAAGCACCTGAGGGGTCCTGTCCTTGGCGGAAGCTGTAAAGTAACGGGACAATGAACGGAAAGCCCCCTGAAAACTCTTGACATTTGACAGATTCTTGTTGGGTAGTTTAGGGTACCGCTAGTGGTCGGCCCTGGTATGTTACTTTTTTTTATATATAAAAAAATCTTACATGTTACCACCTGATTTTACGGGAAAGCTAGCAAACCTTTCCTTGTCCTGGATAAATTCCTATTAGATTGGAATTCTTTCTCAGTAAGGTCCTTCTTACTGACTTAAACTTGCAGAGGCCTTTTGAAAAGCAAAAAAGACGCCATTCTCCAAATGACTTCATTCTCCAGTAGGGAATACCACATCTCACCTGTGATTTGCCATTTATTCAAATAGAGAGAAGAAAGACAACCAACCCTCAGTGCTTCCTTCAGAACAATGGCAGAATTCATGGACTATACTTCAAGTCAGTGTGGGGTAAGTTGGTGTAAGCCAAAGCCATGCCCTTGATCCACCTGCAGATGGATCACAGAGTGGATCTTTGCAGAATTTAGGGAGAATCTGGAGACTACCTGTTTGCCCTGCCCCGCCTTCAAGGGCAGGTTGTAAACAGGGATTTAAACCGGGTGATAAATACAAATTAGAATTTATTCAACAAATATTGCGTGTCCAGTTCTGTAGGTATTATTGAGGATACAGACTATTGGGGGAGGAGGGGTGGGAAGCTTATTTGCTGACTTCCAAAACAATCAAGTCCAGATATTAGGGATTTTTTTTTAACTTTGAACTGAAAATAAAGTTAAAAAAACATCAGTAAGGTCACTCTAAACTGGAACTGAGCCTTTCTGGTTTTCGAAATGTATTGAAACAAAAACAGAAACAAATTCCCTACACTAGAATTTAACCTTTGTTTCAAGTCCCCGGTAATTTGTTTTTAAGTATGTCCCTATGAGTCCATATCACTTGTTGGCCACAAAGATGGTTATGTGGAACCCTCATAACCTGATGAGTGCCCCCATCAGAGGTGGTGTGGCTTACTAGCAGAGCAACCTCCCAGGAATCACACCCATGTTCCGCCACTTTCTGGCTATGATGCCCTGGGCCTGCTAGTCTCTCTCAGCCTACCTTCCCTGTCATAAAATGAAGATCTCTAAAGTGCTTTCCAGCCTCTACAGTCTGTTTCTTCGGTTTCCACTGAGAGATGAACACCAGAAAATTGTCATGAACTGTCAGCATGAGGGACTTGAGGGATATTTTTGGTACCATTCACTGAAAGGAGTGTACAAAGGTTTTAAAGACTCTCTTCTCAAAACCATACACTAAGTCATCTTTAAGTACTTTGAAGGAATGGTGAAGACAGGCCAGCCTGCATCCAAGGAAATTACCTGCATGGAAGATACTCTGTTATCTAGAAGTTATGGCAGACTCTGTGGTCTCTTCCAGCCTTAACATGATGTGATTCTTAATGTGGTTATAAGGATGCTGGTCTACAAGGGAGAAGGAAGAGAATACCTTGTTTGAATTTCATCTATTAAGATTTTTAAAAATCTCTTCTCTCTCTACATCTTTTGTAAAAGCCCTCTGACTCCAAGAACAGGATTCCTATCAATGAGATATGGCCCAGAGAATATTTTTGTGTTATTCTGTTAGTTTTAGAAAAATCCATAACTTCAGGTTTTCTGTGAAGTGATCAACTTAAACATTTTGGTACATGGTTCAGTGAAAGGAATAACATTGATCTTTGGTTTGAGGTTTAGCAAATTGGTGTTCTTCATTTTGATTTTCAGTCCATACTTCAGATTTTCACTCTGAATGGAGTCTCAGAATCCCGTGGCTTTCTCGAGATAGAATTAAGACGTGTTCTGAGCTTGCCTTTACAATTTTGAAGGAGCCCCTAAAATACATCATTAGACCTATGTCCTGAAGTGCTATCTCCAGCTTCTCATTCTTTTGGTCTCATGCCTTAAACACTTTTTGTACACTGTGTTCAAAACAAGCAGGCTTGTGATGTCCTCATCATTAGTCATAATCAAGGGCAAGTTTAAGGTTAACTTCGAGGGGGAGGAAGGAAATAGACAAGAAAAAATGTAACTGCTTTCTGATCCTTTGGATTATTGTCCTTAAATTACAGACCTCTTCCCCCCCCTCCCCCGCATGGACAGAACGATTGCCTAGCTGTTGAGTTTTTGTTACATTTCCTGTTGTATTTCTAAGTCTCAAGGAGATGCACCCCTCTTCCCTTGTCCTTGTCTGGGACTTAGACAATAAAAATGGAACAGCTCATCAAAATTTGTGATGAGAGGAGGTGGAAGGGCATGTGTACTTGACACTGGGGCAAAGACGTTGTGACAATTATTTAACCTGGCAGAGAGCATCTTCTTGCCCAACTGTAGGTGGCCAGAATTCTTGCCCTACAAAGACAGCAGATGGCAGCAAAGTGATGCCAAATGCAGTTTCCTTCTCTGCAGCTATTTTACGTGGGCTCAGAGTTGTTCCTTAACTTCAGAGGCCTGTCAAGAGACTGGATGATTTACCTTTGCTCTGATGCCTCCCTCCTTAACCACATTTTCCCCAAGTAGCAGGGAGGTTTTTGGGTTTTTTTGTTGTTGTTGTTTTTTTAATTTGATCAGACTATTTGGTTACCCAATATCTTTCACATCACTTCTATAGAAATATTATTCATCTGTACTGGAGGATGGAGGGGCAGCCCACGTCTCTCGTTATCACAGAAGGAAGTCGGAACTGCATTTGTGCTGTGACGGGAGGAATGGTCAGGTATGTATCCTCAGCTGTCCGTGCCATGCTCTTAGTACGCACATACACACACCCACACACCCACCACCACCCCGGAAGTGATACCCTGTAATTAGGAGTTCCTGCTGGATTTGTATTTGGGGGATTACTTTGTGTCTCAGCATTACAGTGTTCAGTGGAAATGTATCAACCCCCAACCTTGGAGACCTCGCAGCAATGAACACGAAATAGAATTTTGTCCAAAAGATAAGATTGATGCCACTGCAGCATCTTCAGTTGAGCCTGAAATCCTGAGTCCCAGGATCCTTGGACAGGCTTAAAGAGGAGAGCTTCAAATGTCCTCACCTACATCTACAGATACGAAAGAGGTTTTTAATAATCACATACTTCACCCTAAGTTAGTGATAATTATCATGTCTTTGGTAATTTTAAAAAAGGAAGTGTAAGGAGGGGGGGGGGTCTCTTATAACAGAATTCTTTTCCTAAAATATTAGAACATAAACTACTAGTATTAGGAACAATTATAGGCCTCTTACTACAGTCTTACCTGTCTTTTACCACATGTTCTGGGGAAGCCAAAGATTCTACTTGTTGAACTGATGCCATAGGAGTCCATTGTTGTTTTTGAAGAGAGTAGGGTTTTGTTTTGTTTTGCTCTTTTTAAACTCTCCTAGTTGTACCTGAAGACAGCAAACTTAAGTTCAGAGTCTAATCCACAGATTGGATTCCTGACTTCTCTGGCCTGTGGGTTTAGGGAAAGGACAGAAGAATGGCCACAGGGATGTGAGTGAGGGCTGGATGCACGTGGAAGCCCCTCCCGTTTCCCTGGCATGTGTGGAGCACCAACACGGCCCAAATCCTGGGTTCTCTTTTCTTGCCTGATCCTAAGGGGGTTACGTGGGAGCAAGGGTCAGTCCTGCCCCTCCCATCCCTTCCTATAAAATGTAAGTTAGTGCTTCTAAGGGAGATCGACTTTATCAGTTCTGCCTTTCTCCTCTAGTACCCCCACTCCTGGGAGAAGCATAGAAGAGAATTCTATTTTCTGAGAGCCTGCTAAGTGTCAGTCACTAGTCACTCTTGCACTTAAAATCTCCAATCTAGTATCCCCATGTTGTAGACTAGGAAACGGACTTAGAGAAATTAATCCACCCCTTTTTGTAAAGCAGGAGATAGGATTCAAATTCAGGTCTGTCTCCAAAGCCCATATAAGTATAAAAAAGAATCATGGTAGGGGTGCCTGGGTGGCTCAGTCAGGTAAACGTGCAACTTTGGCTCAGGTCATGATTTCACAGTTCGTGGGTTCGACCCTCACGTCAGGCTCTGTGCTCAGAGTCTGGAGCCTGCTTCAGATTCTGTATGTCTGTCTCCGCCCCTTACCTGCTCGCAGTCTGCCACTAAAATAAGTGTTTTAAATTAATTAATTAATTAATTAAATAACATGGTAAACATCTGACTACAAATACCTCACAGAGTTCACTAAAAGCCTTAATAACTTAGGTGACAACTTAGAAGAAACTAACAGAACAATTATTAAACCCTAATAAAGTAAGAGAAAGTTTCTTGTTATAATCCAGAAGTCTGGGCACTAATCAGTGTTTCAACTTATCTCTTCAGAGAAAAGACACCTCTCTTGGTCTTGGAGTCATCTCTCACGCATCAGAGTGTGCTCTAGAGGCCTCTCAGCAGCCTGTGAGTACAGATCTTCTGTGTTCTGGGCTTCACCACCAGTGCATTCCATGAACCAGTTGACCTGGTTAGAGTGTTCTTTGTACCAGATCCATAGTATTTGAAGTTGGGAGGTTTCACCCTTGAGGAAAGAGAGAATACAGCATTTTGATTCAATGTAAAATTATGTTTTCTTGGTATCCTTCCTTCACTTGAAGCTTAAGGGATACTCTTTGTGCTTGGGCTCATACTTGCGGTTGGAAAGAATGTGAAGTATTCACATCTCCATTCTTACGGCCCAGCTGGGCTGGCACTGGGTCCTGCTGGAATCCCACCATCTGTTCAAGCAGCAGGGGGGTGCTGACCCTCCTGCTTACAAAGTGAAAACCATTGCTGAAATTCTGAAACATAAATTTGGTTAGATCGAGTTCCAAAACATTTGAAGGGATTTGTTCTCATTTTCCACAAATGTTTCCCTGTAAAAATGCGGTGATGAGTTTTTCATTTTTAGAATAAAGTACTCATTAGTTCATGAACCCAGGGAATTTTCTGGAAGTTGGAAGGGCTGGAATTCTGAGAAAAGGAACTCCAGCATGTTGCTGGAATAGTTTGCTTAATCTTTATTTGTCTACAGTGTGCTACTAGCCAGGATTCAGAATATGCTAGAGTTAGTGGCAATGAACAATATTCTGCGCAGATAAGTTGTAAGGTTTAGATGCCTCCCATGCTTGCTGAATTTTGGTAATGCTAATCTGCCCGATATTCATGGTGTTGAAATCACAGATGCCAGTCTTACCCCTGTGTTTCCTTTTATGCAGACAAATGAAGTATCCTTGGCTTTCTGTGATTCCAATATAGCCGAATTTTCTGAAACCGACTTTTGTGTACTTAGTTGATGACCAATGCGTAGTTGTGGTAGAGTCCTATGCATTCGTGTCACTTAAATGATAATAAGGCCAATTTTGCAGTAACTGAGCGTGAAAGAACAGAGGTTAAAGCAGCTTTGGAAAAAGTTCACTTTATTTTTAATTTTTTTTTAACTTTTATTTGGAGAGAGACAGAGACAGCATGAGCAAGGGAGGGGCAGGGGAGGGTGAGAGAAAGAATCCCAAGCAGACTCCTCACTGTCAGTGCAGAGCCCGATGCGAGGTTCAAACCCACACAACTGTGAGATCATGACCTGAGCCGAAACTGGGAGTAGGAAGTTCAACTGAATGAACCACCCAGGCGTCCGAGGAAAAGTTCATTTTAAATCTCTGCAAAGTAGAGGGCGGGGAGGCAGTTTCATAAAAGTATAAATATTACCATTTATTCCTCCTTGTGGAATTTGCTGGCCGGTGGTTTGGTTTGGGCCGCGGGTATGGTGGTAGAAAGGGCAGCTGCTCCCTGTGGCTAACCCCCCCCCCCCCCCCCAGCCCCGCCCAGCACTGAGGAAGCATGCAGGACGTCCCAGCTGTAGGATGTGAGCTTTGGCTCTGTACTACAGGCTCTTCTCTTCTCCTGTGTGCGGTGTTGCCGTCTGCCATCAGAACTGAGACCCCTCCTCTGGCCTCACATCTACCCACTTCCCAGCCATGTGTTGAATCTGTCCTTGGAAGATGGTCTGTGTTCGGCACAGCTCTAAACACAACTCTTTCCGTTGACTCCAGTTTCCCGTGCTTTGTACTATGGGACAACCAATCCTCCGGGGGAGGCTTTGGCCAGCCAGCCGCCTTGCTGCATGATGGAATGGGATCTACTCTAGTGTGCTCCACTTTCAGAGAAGAGAATAGTTCATCTTCCTCCTGAGTTAGCAAGGCACAGTTAAAAAGGGTCTCGTTATTCCATGGTGCCTTGTCATTACTGCTAATCCGTGCTAACAGGTGCCACTGTCTGTTTTTGATCCCCAACACGATGATTGGAGTGTCCCATTTATGACCCTTCATGTTCTTGTAACATTCTAGCGCTTACAAAGTGTTTTCACGTACATGTTGTGAGGTAGGTATCACAGTTTTAGAAATAAGGGAACAGGCACAAGGAGAGGCGGAGACTTACCTAAATGACATTCCTGTTGTCTTCCCAGGCTGACTTGAAAGCAGGACCTCCATGTCCCACATCAGTGCTTTGTTCCACTGTACTTCTGGCACACAGGGGTCACCTTGCTGGAGGTGCCCTGATGGCACTGTGATAGAAAATCTCTAAACCGCTAATAAATGCTTTTTCTTACAGGCTGAAAACATCTCTAAGGACCTCTACATAGAAGTATATCCAGGGACCTATTCCGTCACTGTGGGTGCAAATGATTTAACCAAGACTCACGTGGTAGCAGTGGACTCAGGACAAAGTGTGGACTTGGTCTTCGCCGTATGATGTTGACCATCACGGCCATCGCATCACCTTTTCTTAAGTAGCAAGAAGAATAAAGTCACCATATGATTCTCTTAATATTTACACATTACTCCTGCTTTTACTGCTGACTGTAGAGGGTCAGTCTTCCTGGGAACTGGAGTTTGTCTCTTTCAGTGCCTATTTTAACTTAAAATTCTGGAAGTGCCCGCCCCCTCCCCCCCCCCCTTGGCTGAAAATAATAATGTAATGATGCTATCTGAATGGTTTTTAACTGCTTACTTTCCAGGTAAAGGCTAATTATAATAAAGGGAGATGATTTGGAAATGAAGAGAATTCCTTTTTATTGGTATTAAGAGGTGAAACAGTGTCGCTCACGCACAGCTGAAGGCTTATGAAACGATGGCAGAGAGGCTGTGGACACATTTGCCCAAAGCAGGCCAATCACCCCCTGCAGCTTCTGTGGAGGAGGCATCCTCGAGCAATCTCCCCAGGCCCCCGTCAGGGAGCCCTGGCCGTGGCCACCAGACTCCTGTGCCCCTTGTGGCAGGTGCCTTCCTGCCACTCATCTGCCGGGAAGTCTTAACGGGTGAAGATGCTGCTGCTTATTCGACTGTCACCTGAGGCCTGCACTCTGCCTCCGTCCATTGAAGAAGGACTTAACCACTTTGTAATGCCTCCTCAGGTATTTACCACCACTACTCTTTTAGCTTCCTATTAAAAAAAAAAAAAAATCCTGAGAGTCTTATGCTGACTATAATTATAAGGCTCAAAAGTCACAGATTTTATTTATTTATGTGCACTGGGGAGGGGCAGAGAGGGAGAGAGAGAATCCCAAGCAGGCTCCGTGCTATCAGCACAGAGCCTGACACAGGGCCCGACCTAAGGCTCAATCCCACAAACCGTGAGATCATGATCTGAGCTGAAGTCAGGAGTTAGACACTTAACTGAGCCACCCAGGCGCCCCAAAAGTCACTGGTTTTCAAAAGTCCTTGATGTGCCCTAAACTTCTTTAAGGTACCGTGTCAACAATATTGCATCTGTCTGTTTGGTTGCCTGGTAATTCATCTCATTCTGAATGTAACAAGTCTTTCCTCAGGATGAATTCCAATATATTATATGGTGAAAACTAAGTTTCATGTAGAGCTATATTAGCATTCCTAGGGAGGAACAGACTCCCATGGACAGAGGCCTGATAAAGCAGACCCATGCCCATCACCCTAGGGTAAAGTGTCATTTCAGTGGGATCCTGGCCTCCCCAAGGAGACTGTGATCAGCCTTGTGGGTTCTGTAAGCCTTCTGAAACTGAATGCAAAATCTTGGGTCTGTGCGTTTTCCTGGGAAGAGAGCATGGGATTTTTCGTTCTCAAAAGGAGCATGAAGAACCACGCAAGGAGTCCTTGAGAAGCCCCTTCCCGACTATCCTGCTTTACCTGGCTCCTCAGGGCGTTCGTTCTGAGGGCCATTCCTTTCCCTCCCATGTGTCACTGTACCCTGGCTCCATTTTCTGTGTTCAGCTTCCTCTGCTCTGTGGCCGCTTCATGCCGCTTGCTTCCAGAACCAGCTCCTTGGTTCTCCCCACCACTGCAGTTCGTACCCTCTGTTGTTTGCCGCCCCTCTCTTTCCAGATGATGCCACGTCTTGTTCCTAAACCCCAAATTTAATTACTTATGTTGTGTGTGCCACCATGGGATGAGTCTTGATGACTGAAATAGAACCACATCACGGATCCCAGAATCTCTGAACTATCTGTAAGTGTCGGGCACTGCTGTTTGTAAAGAGAAATAAAGTCTGGTAGTTATTTCTGGCCATTATGCTTTTTGGATAGGTTATATCTGATAGCCACATTTGGAACTGGGTGGAGAAGGTATCAGTCATGATTTTCAAGCCAGCCAGTAGGGGAAGCAAAGGTGGCCAACTGCCACCTGTCAAAGGAGCTTGTAAATCACACTGATCACAAAGAAAAGGTGGCAAGCTGCTGGGAAAACAAGTTTTGAAAGGTTGAACGAGGCACAACAAAACATTGGGAGATGTGACTCCAAGGGGAATAGGACAGTAATCTAAAAAGGAAGGAATGCTGTACAGGAATCCATCCCTATCCTGGCTTTGAAAACCACAGACTGAATCCTGTTTAGGTTGTAAGCATGGGAGAAGAGCAACCTAACTGGGCAGCCAGCAACCTGACCTCTCCAGAATTGTTATGTGAGGATCAAACGGTAACTCAAAAATAACCAAGTGTGGAGGGCAGAGGGACCCACACGAGGGGATTCTTACAAGGCAGAGCCTAAGACTGACTGTCAAACATCGGTAGTTGATCGGTGCCATCAAGCACAATTAGGAGAAGCAAAGTAGCAGATTTCCTTAAAAACATACAAAATATGTAGGGGAGAAAAGGAAAGTTCTGGCATTTGCCATTGTTCCCAACCCTGGTGCACACATGGTTTTTTGCACCTCTTTTTCACTAGTTAGTTATGGCACACAATGCCCCACCTGTGACAAGGGTCAGGGATGGCCCCTTTCTCCACACCCCGACTCGAGTATATTCCCCATAGCTTTGGGCACAGGGTTGTGAGCTGGGAGAGGGCAGGTCCTGTGATCCTCATGTTTGAGCTCTAAGAATTAACCTTTGCCTGGAGCGTAACAAGTGATCTAATACCTAAGGGCAAACCAGGCTGAGTACCTGCAGGTACCATATTTATCTTCTTTATAGTCAATTAGAAATTGCTTTGGGAGGGAACAAAACACTTCAGAGTGGAGCTGTTTAAATGTGGTGAGGGGCAGAAAGACTGAATGTGGGTGGCTGGGCACTGGAGGGAGAGAAGAGCTTTAGGGGAAGTTTGTACTTAGCCAGGTCTGGAACCAGTCTAGGTGGAATGTTGTGCTGAGCAGAGCTACAGCAGTGGGAAGGCAGACTGGTGCCTGGGGCATGTCTGACCTCCATGTCCCCTCTGGTTACCCCTCTGGCGTTCCTCCCTGAAACTGAACCCCGTGCTGCTCAGTTGCTCCCTACAGACTCCTCTCTGTTGGATAGGTACAGCTTTTCTCTCTCCAGTCTGCTGAAGCAGGAGGCAGTGGAAGCTACGGAGAATTTAGCATGAAAACTCTAGGTTTGGGCACCATTTTCTTCATAATATCACTTGTAGAGAGGGTATATCTGGTAGAAACAGTTGTTTCCAAGTAGCTTCTGCCAGTACCTCTCACAGCCTCTCACTGTAAGATCAGGGACCTATTTTACAGGAGCCCAAGAACCTGCCCCCCCCCCCTTTATATTATCAATACAGAGTTTCCTTTCAGGGGAGGAGGAGCTCAGCTGCACACAGCTGGATTCTTGTTTCTCTAGTTAACCCCCTCTCAGAGGTGGGGGAAAGATCCCCATCTTGAAAACCAAAGAAGGTCTAGAGCCCTCAGTTTAAGTCCAACAGCAGCCAACCCCTGTCCATTCCCAACCACCCCAAAACCCAGGGGCCCAGGAGTCACCAAGAAAGTTTCTCAGTGTAGAAATAATTTAACTTTCTGGAACTGAAGACCAATAAAGTTTTTACCCCTGCGGCAAGATTGAAATCCTCAGGGGCTCAGAGGTCCTTCTGGCTGAGCCTCAGCTCTCCTGGAAATAGGGCAGTGGCCCTAAACAGGGACACACAGTGGGTCCCAATGTGGGTGGTGCCTCAAGATCCTCAAGCCCTTAGGAGTGGTATTCTTTAACCACATAGCCTCCTGCCTCAGATTGAATGTTCATTTAGTTCACTGGATGTTAGCCCCAAGAATCTGGTCTAGGGCTGGGCTCATCCCATCCACCTCTGCCAGCTGACTTAGGCTTCTGCTCTTGCTGGGGCTTACTGGGAATTAAATTTGACAGAGGTGAAGCATGTCAGCGATAGACTGCTTCCAAACCTATGAGGGGAGCATGTCTCACACTTCATAGCTCAAGGGGAAGGTGAGGATGGCTGTGGATTGCCAACAACAATCCCTTTGTAAGCCATTGGGATTACAATCCCTTGTAAGGAGTGAGCAGCATGACACAGGGCCCTGCTTCTCCCCACTCTGATTTACTAAGGGGACCATCTGGGGAGTAAGGCCTGACGACCAATATTTAAAGACCAGTTTCTGTGCTTCTCGGGACACTGAAGACTAATTGACACCTGGGGGCATTTTGACTCTTCATCTAGAGAAAACTCAAGGGCTCCAAGAAAAAAAAGTAGGGGTATGGGGCAGGCCAGAGCAGACAATGGCAGTGCCCTGTCAGCACAGACAAGTGAAGAAGGAAAATACAGTTGTTAAATAGGGATGCAAACCTTCACACAAAGATCAACCCATCTTTTCTCAGTGGGTTTTATTGTTCAGATGGAAACCCACTATTTCCCTCTTGTCCCAGCTTCCCCTTCAACATGGCCACACACCTAAGTGTTACTTCCAGTCCCAGTACAGTGGACACATGCATGAGATTCCTAAGAGATACATGGGAGGGAAGGGAGCAGGGATCTCAGGAGGTGTTGTACCTGGCTTCCCAGGACAGGGCTCAGGCCCGTTTCTCCTCCAATACCTCCACTCGGGCTGGCAGAGGGCACCCTGCCTCCTCAGAGACTTCTCAAGAAGAATAGGGTCTGTGTTGACTGTGCTGTCCACCGCCAGCCTCTGCGGGAGGTGCGTCTCCAGATCGTTCCCCAAATCCTCTTCCTCAGAAGAAGAGGAGGAAGAAGAGGAAGAAACACCCACGGGAGCTTGCACTGCTACTGCTTCCTCTTCTGCAGGACCCTCCAGAGGCAAAAGTTGTGCTGTGGGCTTTAGTTCCACCTCTGGATGTTCTGTGGCTGTGGCCCCTGAGGTCCTGGCTAGAGGCCACCAGGTGGGTCCTGCCCAGGGACAGTAGCAGAGGCAGGTCTGGTACGGCAGCTGGCAGCAGGCCTGGGGGAGGCAGGGCGGGCACAGGAACAGAGCGCCTGGAGAAAGCCCGCTGATGACACATCCAGCGACCGGTCCCAGCGGAGAGCAGCAAGGGGCCCAGAGGAGGGGCCCGGGGTGCTCCCTGGTTAAAGGCTTGTGCAGCCTCTCCACAGCCTTCTTCCACACAGCTGGGGGCACCCACCTGACCTGGCCCAGAGGCACAGTAGCTGTCTTGCCATTCCAGAAGTGAACAGTAATTCCTCCTCCTTTTGATGCTACATAACAGAGCAACATTTTGTCAGTTACCTCTTCTATGTCATGGCCTCAAAGCAAACCTCAGGGCAGCCTCTGCTCTGCCGGCTTCCCCTCCCTGGAGAGCCTTCCCCGGAACATTCCCTCACCCACCCCCTATCTACCTACTGCCACTTCCCATTGCACTTGCAGGCACCTCCCTGTCTCAGTTTTTAGGTCAAAGTCAAAACGCGTCCTCAGAGGGGAAAGAGGAGAGGCCTCCCCTTCTCACTGTCTAAACTGCAACGATGCTAGCTGGTGCACCCTGCAGAGGGGACTGTCCCCTTGATGACTTGATGGGGTACCCGTCATGAGTGTGGCCCCATCGCACCATAGATTAGCTAACCTATTTATTTTTTTTTTCAATGTTTTTTATTTATTTTTGGGACAGAGAGAGACAGAGCATGAACGGGGGAGGGGCAGAGAGAGAGGGAGACACAGAATCAGAAACAGGCTCCAGGCTCCGAGCCATCAGCCCAGAGCCTGACGCGGGGCTCGAACTCACAGACCGCGAGATCGTGACCTGGCTGAAGTCGGACGCTTAACCGACTGCGCCACCCAGGCGCCCCAGCTAACCTATTTAGACATAATAGTTTTAGGCTATTTTTCCCCGATGAAAAGCATTTTATAATTCAAAAGTTATGATCTTTTTTATCTGTTGCCACATCCACGATTAAGCTGCAAGTGAGGGGGTGAGGATTTTTTTTTTTTTAACACCTCTAAGACCCTACACTCCCCTCTAAGACACTTTTGGCTCTCTCCTACCAGCCTGGCTCCCTCCCGGGGACTGATAGGTCAGAGCAGCTCCCCTTACCTCTCAGGGGGTCTCTCGCCTCCAAGCCCAAGAGAACCGTGCCAGGGCCATACCGCTGCTGGTCTGGATCCCAGGCTGCAAGCACCTTGTCCCCTGGCCGTGGTGAGTGTTCTACGCACGGCAAGAACTGAATGACATCTTCTTCTAAGACCACACTCTGCTGCTGGGCTGGCAGCTTTGGGTCTGTGGCAGTGGGAACCTCAAATTCCACAAGCAGGGCCCCCTGTCTCTCCAACTGTGGAAAAGAAAAACACTCAGCGTAAGATGTGGCACTGGGAAGTAGAACAGGGAAGCACTGCAGTTCCCTACAACCAGGCCCAGGGGCTGGCTTACAGTTCCCAGAACCAGGCCCAGGGGCTGGCTTACTCACAGTGAGGGCCAGGGGACAGAGACAGGGACAGGCCGGCTGTGGTGTGGACGTTCTTCCCTCAACCTCTTTTCACCATGGGCAACTTTTGTTATCACTTCCTGCCATTCCTTTCCCTCCCTCTTTTCCTGTCTGTCTTTGCTCCCCTATAGATTTGGCCTGCAATTCCCAGGGATAACCTGCGTCCTCTGGATCCTTCCCCAGTGTACTCCCCCTCCTCCTAGCATTCCCCAAAAATGTTATCCCTGCATCCAAGACCAACCAGGGGTCGCATATGCATCCACAGGCCCACACCCACATGGGCAAGGAGCAGCTGTGGCCTAACATGACGGCAGCCCTCAGCACTGCCATTACATCAGTGAGGATAGGTTTGGCTCAGCAAGTGGACATCGTAAAAGAGAGGGCAGGGAAGTACTTAAGCTACTGAAAGTACACGCTGTTTTGAGAACTCAGTATGATTTTAAAGAGAAATAAATTCTGGTTACAAATTAATCACAAAAAAATTAATCATGAGACAACCTATTACTTGAACGAAACTGTGCTAATATTTCATTGAAATTCACATTTAGTTACTGGAAAAATGACAAAATGACTTCTGAACGGAAATTCACACTAGTCTTCCCTCCATGAATCCACATGCACGAAGTCTGACATTGAAAAGAAGAGAAAAAAATCCCAAAGAAGTAAACGGCCACTGAAGTACAGGGTAGGCCTGACTCCCAGCATGTGGGGGACCACACTTCCGTGTGTACAGGTACAGAGGCACATGTGTGGGCAGAGGTGTTTGCTTCTTTCCTTTAGGCTGGTGCACATAATTCAACACATTGAATTTTCCTGAACAAAGCACTTTTTACTGCAAACTTTCTTCACTGTCACAGGTTCAATTGTATCCTCCTCGAATTCATCTGTTAGAGTCCAAGCCCCTCCAAATATGACTTTATTTGGGAATAGGATCATAATTAGTGAAGACAAGGTCATGGTAGGCTGAGGGGAGTGGCTGCCTAATCCAGTGACTGATCTTCTTTTTTTAAGTTCATTTATTTATTTGTGAGAGAAAGCACAAGCAGGGGAGGGCCAGAGAGAGAAATCTAAGCAAGCTCCGTACTGTCAGCACAGAGCCCAATGCGGGGGTGGGGGCGGGGGCGGGGGCGGGGGAGGCTTCAAGTCACAAACTGTGAGATCATGACCTGAGCCAAAATCAAGAGTCAGACACTTAACCAAATTAGCCACCCAGGTGACCCCCAATGACTGATGCTCTTCTATAAAGGGGAAATGTGAACACAGACATGCACAGAGGGAAGATACCAATTGAAGGTGGGGCAAAGATTGGGGTGCCGCTTCTTCAAGCAAAGGAACAGCAGAGATTGGCAGCAAGCCACCAGAAGTCAATCAGAACAGGCATGTGGAACATATTCTCCCTCATAGCCTTCAGAAGAACCAATTCTGCCAACATCTGGGTTTCACTCTCCAGAACGGAGAAATGATACATTTCTATTAAGCCACCCTGTTTGTGCTACTCTGTTACACAGCCCTGGAAGACTGATACACTCACTGACATTACATTTCCCTTCTGGAACCTGGCCACAAAAGACATGTGCTTATCCAAGAAACTGAACTGCCGGACACACAGCTGAGGCATAGCAGGTGTGACAGGGCCACCCAGAGGAGGGTGCTGGGACGTGCGAGGAACTTGCCTCTGGAGCAGCCTTTATCTGAGCCCAGTAATAAAAGCCATCCGGTGCCCTTCTTGCGAGGATCCATGTGTCAGCAGCATCTCCAACTCTTCCCGACCAGCCAGGCCCCTGCCATGCGGAGTCAGCAATGTGGAGACACGGGTGGTAAGATGCATATCTGCAAAAAAACACAAATGGAATTAGGGAATGGAGACGATCAAGCCCTGAAAACATCGAGAAACCCGTTTCACAGATCTGAGCAGCGCCGTGGCATGTGTATGACATGTAAGGCTATATGGAACAGAAATCCATGTGAAAGGTGGCTGGCAATCTGTGGCTTCCAGTATGCTACGATACACTGCTGGAAGGGGCAGAAGGAGAGGACAGTGAAAGGGAATATCGTTTGGGGATTGAGAATTGCTTCAAGGACATCAAAATGTGATTCGCCTTGATATATTCAAGTGAATTAACACTGGTTCTGAGACTGAACAGGAGACCAGGAAAGGGCCCTGGGGAGGTAAATCCTAAGGTGGTGCGTGGGAATCTGGGCTGGATTCATATGCGTGTTTCGATGCTAGTGCCAAAGGAGTAAAACTGGAAGGATGCTTGTGGGCTCAGAAGGGAGGAGGAAGTATTTGAGCAAGGGAAGCACGGAGGAGCTGACTAGGGGCCTGAGAGACAGAAATAAAGGAGATGCCACTCCTGAAAAGTTTTGTGGACAGGGCCAAACCAGGGGTGTGGGGGTGTGGGATGGTTGAGTCAGGGCATGGGTTTTCTGAAGCAGCCGGTTACTTTGTGGGAAAGCCTGGATACAGGGATGCTTAACTCTGGCTTTGAACGAGAAGGTCCGCATAGATGAATCCAGAAAGCCGGGCTATTAAGGGTTCAAGCTGGCATGTCCCTAACCTGGGCAGAACAGAATTGAGTGTCACGGACACAAGTGAGTCCCTGGAACTGACACCACTTGTGTGTGCTTGAGGGCTGAGCTCCCTTTCCCTCTTCTGCAATCACACTTTAGACAGCTCGTGGAGGAAATTAGGAAAGGCCAGGATAACCGAGGGATACTGAGGGGACCTGTGGAGGCAACTGGAGACCTCGCCTTAGCTGTTGGTTGCAGAAACCCTAATTTCTCACACGGTGCCGGGGCAAGTCTCTTGGTTAATGGTAAAATGAGCTAGAAACTCTTTAACTCTTTAACTGGTGAATGCCTGACTGCCTTCTCTCCCACGTCTAACCTTGACACCTGCCACCCTCTACTAAGTGCTACAAGGAGTACAGTTTACACACGAGTGACATAATACCCCAAGCAACTCCTAGCCCACGCAGTGAAGAAACCCTTTCAGCCTTCCCAGGAAGCAAATTGTCTCCCTCATGATATGCCATCGAGAGCCAATACCAGAGGGGAACAAAGGGTGGGGGGGGGGGGTGCACGTCACCTCTGCCAGAGGTGCAGAGACTAGTACCTGGTAAGGGGGATGTGCCGGCTGAGCCAGGGTGCCTGGATGGCAAAGGGGCAGGTGAAGGAGAAGTCCCAGCAGGGAGCAGCACCAGCCCAGGAGGCAGACTTCAGGGTTGAGGCCACACTGCAGTATTTGGACAAAGGAATCCTGGGCCCCGCAGAGGATTCCATGGCCTTCAGGGAAACCACCTGAGAACAAGCACACCATTACCTGAGTTGCAGCAGAGGGCTGCTGGCTGGAGCAGGGCTCAGTTCTGCCATTAGCAGTCTCCAACTGCTCCCACAGACTGTTCTCTGAATCACCTGCCTTGAGAACCTTGGCTCAGAAGATACAGGAGGGGTTGAAAGGGCAAGAGTTGTGACTTCAGAGAAACCGAGCTTTAAATCCTTCACAGCCTGCAGGCTGCGTGCTCACTCCACCACTGTGCTTCAGCTATGGCACAGGAGAGAATATATGGGATGCACCTGGCGTATAAGCAGCTCAATGTGTGCTAGTTTTTTCCTTCTCCCCAGGTGTAGGGACTCCCGGAGGTAAAACAATACAAATATGACTGGCCTAACCATCATGACAAACTGACCCCCAACCTAAGCCACAGACTCCCTTCCTAACCTAGTGGCCCACAGGACTAACACTAGCCCCAGGTAGAGCTGAGATCCCAGGGTTGTGTCCTCCACAGACCTGTTTAGAGGTGACAGCTGCCACCCTGCTCCCAACATCACACTCCATTGCCCCAGCCCACCAGAGCTATGTTAGGGTCTGCCCCTGCCCAAGCCCACAGGGCTGACCCCAAGGGGACTTACTCACAGCCCCAAACTCCTCCACCTCAGCCTCAGCCCGTCTGACAGTTGGAGCTCAGAGCCTCAGCCCAACTGACTTCTGGTTGCCAAGCAGGTTGCCATGGATCCAAGACAGCAAGAACACTGTGGACTGAGTGTACTGAGCACGTGCACAGGAGTGGCAGGGGGCCTTGGGAGACATGGCAGGGGAGAGAGGAGAGGGTTTCTCTTGGAAGAAGGGGAGAAAGGGCATTAGAGAGAAAGCCCATTGCAGCCTCATTTCCCCAAAGTTCAGACTTTCCCACTGCTGGAAGAGGCAGTCATGGTGGGAAGCCCTCATGACCCAGGGGAGTCCTGTGAGGGAGGGAACTGTCCCTACAGAGACTAGGGGCTACTGATCTGTCTCCACCCTGTGCAAGCAGGAGACCAGGTCGGGTGAGCCCCTGACTGGCCAAAGGACTCTAAGATAGAATGTATCTGTAGTTTAAAGCAAAATAACTAAACATGTGGGCACATCTTTTCTGTAACAGACAGGACCCTGCTGAAGAGCAGAGTTGTGGTTACCACTTGGGGGTGATGGGAGTGGACACCAGCGACCAAGGGAACAGAAGTCTGGACTCCGCACTTATTTGAATGTCCATGGAACAGGCTGGTGTTTGAGGCATGTGACGGCCATTGTGCACCGATTATGTGCCTGGCACTGTGTTCAGGGGAGAATACCAAAAAAGTATACTGGGACATTTGCAAGTGTTTTTCCCCACATCCATTCCCCTCTTCCAACAGTTCCCATTTCCATTTGCAGACCCGTGTGATTAGGAGAGGCTGACCACACCCCCAGCTCCACAGGTATAATGAGTGTCAATCAGCACATTCCACTCCCCTGGGGTTGCTCCTGGGGTTTGGTTAAGTATGGGCATGTTCCTAGCCTCTCCAATCAGAATAAATCTCAAGACTTTTGTTGGGAATTCTGGATTATAGACTTTCTCTTTCCTCTCTTTCTATGCATAAATAAGAAAGTACATTGTTCTAGGGTCTTCTGGCTGCCTTTGTGGGATACTGAAGCTATTCCCAGAGAAAGGGAGAATAGACCTAAACAAAACAGGTTCTTGGTGACATTGTTGAGCCCTGATTGAAGGCAGCCCTACTGCTATACAGATTTGACTGACTGTTGCTAAAGGCCGAGTTCTTTGGTGCACAAAATTAGAGTCCAGGAAAGGCCAATGGAGTCTCTGGCAGTGAGAGAATAAGACAGGTAGGATTTCAATGATGGAGGGAAAAAGAATATTCCAGTTTAGGAGTCAAGAGCTAAGAGAGAAGGATGCCTTTGCAAGACTGCTTTTCTCTTCTGGAGGAAATGGGGTGTCATGAGAAAATCAAGATGTGACTATTTGGGAAAGTGCCAGATCGGTGGGAGCTTTGAAAACCAAGAAGATACATGTAAACAAAATGGTAGTCAAAGGGGATATGTCATAGGGTCTTGACATCTTCACACAATGAAGTGACAGGAAATGCTTTAAGAAAAAACATCAGAGTGAGAATGTAACCAGTTAAGAATAGAGCCCAGGAGGCCAGGGAGGAGACTGTTAACAGTGACCAGATATGATATGACAGGAGTGGAATAAGAAAATAGTAACACCAAATATTTTACCCACAACACCTGCCTGATTTGAGGCTCTTTGTTGGGTGCTAACAATTTAGAAGGAATAAGACTGGTCTACCGAAGAGATAGGTGTGTGATACAGAGTGTAAAGATAGTAGGATAGGAACTTCAAGGAGATATGTGTACAAAATAAAGCAACGAGTAATGGCTGGAGTGGGAAGACTTTACAGAGATGACAGTAGAGATGAGTGTGCCAGTTTATGGAAAGTCCTGACTGGGCTTGGTGACAGATGGAACCTGGGAGTTAAGGGAGAAGGAAGAGCTGACACTGGTCATGGGAATGGAAATAGAGACATTTTGAAGGCAGACTCCAAGATATGGGGCAGTGACAGTCCTTCCCAGGGGTGAAGGAAAGGCAAGGCACATGCACATTTTCTGGCCAGGAGAACCTGGAGAATGGTGATGCTATGGACAAAACAAGGTTAATAATAGTAATAATAATGGGGCGCCTGGGTGGCTCAGTATGTTAAGTATCCGACTCTTGATTTCGGCTCAGTCATGATCTCACAGTTTATGAGTTCAAGCCCCGCATCAGGCTCCGTCTGACAGCACCAAGCCTGTTTGAGATTCTCCCTCTCTCTCACTGCCCCTCCCTCCTTCTGCCTCTGTTTCTCTCTCTCTCTCTCTCTCTCTCTCTCTCTCTCTCTCTCTCTCTCAAAATAAATAAACTTTAAAAATTTTTAAAAAATAATAGTAACAATCATAATAATGGTTATGAATACTTCTTTGTCAGGCACTGTTAATTCTCCTCATAAACACGGGGGACAGTTCCTGTTATTATTATTCTCACTCTGTGGATGAAGAAATGAGACATGGAGAGAAGGTAGCAAGAGTCCTAGTTTAAACTGAGGCAGTTTGATTCCAGAGACTGCCTCCTTAACCCCTACACTAGGCTGCCTGAGGAAGTATTCTGCATGTGGGAAAAAGATGACTCCAAAATAATTTCACATGACAACAAGACTTTGTTAACTACCTTTGCTTCAGCCCTGGGATGTTCTCCCATCAGGACATGAGTAAGATAGAGATGTGTAGATTTTCTGTCAACCCCAAATGCTAGCAATAAAAACCACCACACTTTGACAAATCAAGAGAGGTTCATTGTGGTCATTTCGCATGAAGTGTCTGCAAAACGCATTACAAGCATTGAGCAGTCATTAGTCATACTTTACAATACTTTTGTGAAGAGTGTCTCATGGCTGAGACTCTGGCCAAGTGTGTGAGAAGGGCTGGGGGAGATTTACAGAGAATCCTGGGGACTTCTGCTCCTCTAAAGTTCTTGAAAGAAATCACCAAAGCTTAAGATGCATCTTCTCAATCCACATAAGGTAATTGTCATATGTCTGAAACCCCCGTAAGAAATAGCCAGCATAGGTTAACTTTTGAGCTGTTATTTGCCTATTCAGAAATTACATTTAGGAAAAACTATTGAATGATGCTGTAAAAGACTCCATTTTGTGAAATTATTTGTTTCTGTTTAGGATCAAATGATTCTAAAAATGGGGTCACTGTGGCGGCTGGTGGTTGCCATTATGGAGGAAACTTTCTCGGGGTTATTGTTGGTTTCAGTCTTATCAGGGTACAGAAGAGACTGCAGGTAATTAATGTACTTGATAGCAGCTCTGAGGGTTTCCACTTTGCTGAGTCGTTTCTCCAAGTACTCTTCTGGCAGATGATGTCGGAGCTGGGCATAGCCTTCATTGACACACTTTACCCGCTGCCTTTCCCGTTCATTCCTTTTCCGGATGAAGGCTGGCCCATAGGCATATTCACACCTTCTGTAATTTGCATAAGGCATGGGGAAGGAGAAGGAGCAGGGTTCACCATAATTTTCCATGATCAGGGAATCATTGGGAAAAGGCAGCAACGGCAGGTCTTCAGAGAAAGGGGATGGTACTGGGGCATCAGGGTACAGGTGGAAAGTGACCATGGGGTCCAGATAGAAGGACCTGGTCAGTGGCAAGTGGACAGAATCAGAGAAAACAGGCAGTTTTTCTGGCAGATTAGAGTAGCTTCGATTGTCCATCACTTCCTCTTTAGCCTGGAAACATAACCAAGTTTATTAATTTGGCCAGATCAAAAGAGAGCAGGTCTCATTGATTTTCTCAGAGATCAATAGTTTAAAGACTTCTCTGCTTTGAGGCATAGTTCCTGAGCTCATTCTGAAAACGATATTGGGCTATAATACTCTGTGGGTAGGAAGAGAGGAATTTTTGGTGGTACAGGGGAACAGCATTAAATAACACTGACTCACTTTGTAAGAAAGTTATTCTCTTCCAGCTCTTTTGATCCTTGTGATTACAAAGATACAGCTTTAGTCTTGTAAGAGTGTGTCTTCCACATTACTAGAATGCTTTCTGATTCTCCCCAGATGGAGGCCTTCAACAAGCAATAGTATCTAACTAGAATTTAATAATGCTTTGCTGTTAATTTCTATTAATTGTGAATTATACTGATTTCACATTTATGGAAGTGATACAAAATTTCTTTTAAAAATACATCTGCTTGGGGCACCTGGGTGGCTCCATCGGTTAAGCGTCCAACTTCGGCTCAGGTCATGATCTCATGGTTTGTGAGTTCAAGCCCTGCGTTGGGCTCTGTGCTGACAGCTCAGAGCCTGGAGCCTGCTTTGGATTCTGTGTCTCCCCATCTCTCGGCCCCTCCCCTGCTCATGCTCTGTCTCTCAATAATAAGTAAATGTTAAAAAAAACATTAAAAAAATACATTTGCTTGAGTAAAAAAAATCTCACTTAAAGAAAAGTAGTAAGTAAATAATAGTACAGGTGGAATACAGATAATGAAGACCGTGAAAGTGCATGCAATGCAAATAAGTAAAGTTTGGGAAACATTGAAATACCACAATATTCAAATACATGCTGGAAACATTACAAACGAGTTAATGATCATGCAACCTCACGGGCATAGCCTTAATTAATACCTGATACGCCACAGGAAAAATAAAAAATAAAAATAAGAAAGGAATCATTTGCTCTTAAAAATTCACTTTAAGATTCTTTTAAATAAGAAACTCCCCTAATATACTTAAACATAGTCAAATTACATATTTTTACTTACATAGAACTTTAAATATATTGAATGAAGTCCATCTGTATTTAGGTGTTTTGTTGTTGTTTTTTTTAACAGAACATAAGGATAGAACATTATACCCAAGAAGTCCCACACCAATACATTCTTTTTTTCTGAATAGGTCTTCATGCACCTCATTTATTAAACAACCGTTACTTTTTGCCTTGACTATAATAATAAAGCCACCGCAGATTTTACAGGGATACTTCAGAGTAACGAGTTAACTGGGAGGTAGGGTAGTGCTGTAAGAAAAGAGCATTTTTCTTTCAGTTATAACACCCTTGAGTTTCAAACTTGGCTTTGCCCCTTCATAGCTATGTGTCCTTAGGCAAGCTTCTTAACCTTTCTGAGCTTCAGTTTTTTTCCTATGATCAACTGAGTTATTAACTACTCTGCAGGGTGGTTGTGAGGATCAAATGAAAAAATATATATAATGTACAGGCATCAGTTATTTTCCGCTTTCCTTTCTTTACAGATGAATACTTGTGTAGTGTCCCTTTCTAAATTGCAGCTCACAGAAAAACCTGGCTTATATTTTCCCTAACACTGGAAAATCAAACATTGGCCTATCTAAAACATATTGGTTGAGAGACGATCATACCTAAAATGGAAAAAGCAACATGAAATCTACCTGTGGGCCTCCAGAAAAGAGGGAAATATGACTTTCTGTTAATTCCTCAAGGATGTGATTTTAAAACATCTTTAGGAATGAGGGCTTGGCCTCTATAGTTGGCATGTGTAAAGAAAAAGAGGCAACTTCCCCTCCCCACCTGAAAAACCTCAGACCTGTTTATGAGCAAGATTAGGTAACATTTCACTTGCTTCTCTACCTAAGCATAGCAACAACCTGCAAGCTATACTATGTAATGGGTGGAGTAGCCTCTAAGCACCAGAATTCAAACACAATGAGGTATATATTTTTTCTTTTCTCTTCTTTTCTTTTTTTTAAATGTTTTTAATGCTAATTTATTTTTGAGAGAGGGAGAGAGAGACAGAGCATGAGAAGGGGAGGGGCAGAGAGAGAGGGAGACACAGAATCAAAAGCAGGCTCCAGGCTCTGAGCTGTCAGCACAGAGCCCGATGCTGGGCTAGAACTAACTCAGGAGCCATAAGAACATGACCTGAGCCGAAGTCGGACACTTAACCAACTAAGCCACCCAGGTGCCCCCCCCCCTTTTTTCTTTTTAAGTAGGTTTCATGCCCAGCCCAAGAGCCCAACCTGGGGCTTGAACTCACAACCCTGAGCTGAGATCAAGAGTCTTAGTCTTAACCAACTGAGTCACCCAAGTGCCCCTAAGGAAGTGTATTATTTTAAAGTAAAGTGCGAAAAAGCCTATCCCATCTAGTATGGCTACTGAAAGATGAAAAAGACTATAGAATCAGAGAGGGCAGTATGTGATGGGGGTGGGGAGGGTGGGAGGTGAGGAGTGCTATAAGAAGTCATGGTGAAACACCCAGGAAAGGAGCAATTGCCAGGAAAAGCTCTTCCTAATATGGGGTTGGGGGTTGGAGGTGGGGATGAGACAAGTGTGTAGGTGCAATTAAAAATCAAAACAAAGGAACAAGAAATGAAAGATTCCAAATTACTGACCAAATTGGCCTAAAATAACTAACATAAAACAAAAATCTCTTGAAGATTAAAAACTAGCCAAGATTCTATCAAAAATAAAAAGTTGCTGAGAGAAAAGTTAGGAAATTCCCAAGGCAGGAATTCCAGAGGATAAGAGATAAAGAACATGGATGGCAGAAGCTACAAAAATGGCACAGTGGGTATGGAGTCTATATTTCTACATTTCTGAGAACAGCAGAGCCTTATTTCTGCCTATAGCTAATAAGCCAGAACTGACACAACAGAGTATCACAATGTAAAGCAGATGTCAGCAAAGCCAATTACACACAAGAATTCTATAGGTATGGTTTTACCCTGACAGATAGTTTTAATGTCTTAAACCTTGACCCAGATGAAATCTGAGTAATTTACATATGCCACAGGTACTTGAAAGTTTCTAGGCTTTAACTAGACTATGCATAATTCTTAGAAAAAGAGCTTGGTGTCTCTGTAGACACGCTGTTGAGAAGCTTTTTTTTTACTAAGCATTTCCCAAAAGTTCACCAATCAATGTAGTAGCATTGAAATATGATTATCTTTTACTCAAAGAATAAAATTTAATCACAACACAACAGAGTGATACAATGATAAATGCAGTAAAGAAGAGGGTCAAGATAGAAACCTACTGGAGGATGGAAGTATTTGTAGAAATTGAGTACAAATTTTTAAAATAAAACAACACAGATTATTGGTGTTGGGGCTTCACAGCTCCAGATACATGCACAGCTAACAAATGCACCTATCTTGGGAAAATCTCAGATTTCTGTCTTCTGGGAAATAAATGATGAGGTCTTAATGATAAAATCCTAAGAGATTCCAGTAGTTCTGCTGAGCATAAAAACTTCAACTTTTCAAAGATATTAAAAATATCTAGCCTGTAAGAAAAAAAGGCTACAACTGCACGTATAATTGATTTATGGAATCTTAGGGATGGAAAGAATCTTACAAATCCTCTTATCCAATCCCTCATAGGTTGTGAGTTGGCTAAGCTTGCAGAGCTCATAGCAGAGCAGGGGTCAGAACCTAGGTCTCCTGATTTCCAAACCAAACCCTTTCCACTTCTCCAGATCTAATCACCAGCAAAATCTGGATCTTTCAATTTATGGGCTTATTTGATAGTTTAAGACAATGGAATAATCAGTTGATAAAATTCATCATTTACCAACTGTGCCTGGGAATTTTCTTAAAAGCCATATTCTTATTCTCCCTCTGTGGGCCACTCTGGAAAAGAGTCTCTTACCTGTTTTGTAGCTAAGATGCTGTATTTTGGGCTGTGTCAGACGTAACCTGATTTATAGGTGATCATTTAGTAACTGTATGCAAAGTAGCTTACAGTTAAACAGAACTGCTTAGTTCTGGTTTAGCCATTTTTTCTACTTAATATGTAGGTATGACAACACATAACAATACTAAATAGAAAGGTTTGCTTACAAAACTGGACTCTTATAACAAATTATTTTGTAAAAAGAATGCCTCCCAGCCATCTGATTCATATGATTTTCTATCAGAATTATTTATGGAAAGTATCTTTAAGTAATAGTCTCATAATGTTGGTCAATATTCTTTTAAATAGAGATTAAGGCTATAACCAGGGAGGTAAACATGAACCTAAATATAAACCTAATACATTTTGTTAAGATACCTGTTATATTTTCCTCTATTGAGACTTTATTTTTTAGAGTAACTTTAGATGCACAGCAAAATTGAGCAGAAAGTACAAAGATCCCATATACCCATTCCCTGCACTTGCACATCCTTCCCCACTGCCAACATCCCGCCCCAGTAACATATTTGTTACAATTGATGAACCAATATTGACACATCACTCAAAGTCCATAGTTTACCCAACAGTTCACTCTTAGTGTACATTTTATGAGTTTTAACAAATGTATAATGACATGCATCCACCATTACAGTCTCATACAGAATAGTTTTAGTGCCCTAAAAAGCCTCTATGCTTCACCTTTTCATCCCTCCCCTGACAACCACTGATTTTTTTACTGCCACCATAGTTTTGCCTTTCCCGGAATGTCATATAGTCGGAATCATGCAGTATGTAGCCTTTTCAGATTGGCTTCTTTCACTTAGTAATATGCATTTAAGGTTCCTCCATGTATTTTTATGGCATGATAACTCATTTCTTTTTAGTGATGAATAATATTCCATTGTCTGGGTGTATCACAGTTTACTTATCCATTAACCTACTGAAAGACATCTTGGTTGCATCCAAGTTTTGCTAATTATGAATAAAGCTGCTATAGCCATCCGTGGGCAGGTTTTTGTGTGAAGATAAGATTTCAACTTATTTAGGCAAATACCAAGGAGTGTGATTACTGGATCATATAATAAGTGCATGTTTAGTTTTGTTAAGAAACTGCCAAACTGTTTTCCAAAGTGGCCATACAATTTTGAGCTCCCACCAGCAATGAATGAGAGATCCTGTTGCTCCACATCCACACCAGCATTTGGTGTTGTCAGTGTCCCGCATTTTGGCCATTCCAATAGTGTGTAGTAGTATCTCATTGTTGCTTTAATTTGTATGTCCCTAATGACATGACGTGGAGCATCTTTTCATATAATTATTTGCCATCAGTGTATCTTCTTTGGTGAGGTACCGTTCCGGTGTTTGGCCCATTTTTAAGTCAGGTTGTTTATCTTCTTGTTGACTTTTAGGAGTTCTTTGTATATTTTGGATCATAGAAATGTATGTCTTTTGCAAATATTTTCTCCCAGTCTGGCTCATCTTGTTCTTTTGACAGTGTCTTTCACAGAGCACAAGTTTTTAATTTTAACGAACTCCAACTTCTTTCACCATTCACGCTTAGTGTTTTGTCTAAAAAGTTATCACCAAACCAAAGGTCATCTAGATTCTCTCCTATGTTATCTTCTAGGCATTTAAATTTTGTGTTTTACATTTAGCACTATGATCTATTTTGAGTTAATTTTTTGAAGGGTCTCAGGTCTGTTATCTAGTGTTTTTGTTTGTTTTGTTTTCGCATGTGGATATAGTTGTTCCAGCACCGTTTGTTGAAAATGCTTTCTCCATTGCATTGTCTTTGTTCCTTTGTCAAGATTAGTTAGCTACATTTGTGTGGGCCTATTTCTGGGCTCTCTGTTCTATTCGTATCTATTCTTTGGTCAATACCATACTGACACTGACTTGATTACTATAGCTTTATATTAAGTCTTAGAGTCAGATATGTCAGTCCTTCAACTTTGTTCTTTTCCATTAATATTGTGTTGGCTTTCTGGGTCTTTTGTCTCTTTATATAAGCTTGAGGATCAGTTTGTTGATATCCACAAAATTATTTGCTGAGATTTTGGCTGGGATTGTGTTGAATCTATAGATCATTAGGAAAAACTCACATCTTGTCAATCAATATTGAGTTGTCCTATCCATGGATATGGAATATCTCTCCACTTATTTAGTTCTTCGCTCTCTTTCATTAGTTTTGTAGTTTTTCCTCATGTATATTTTGTACATATTTTGTTATATTTATACCTATTTCATTTTGGGGGGTACTAATGTAAACTATATTGTATTTTTTTATGTTTATTTATTTTGAGAGCGAGAGAGAGAACAGGAGCAGGGGAGGGGCAGAGAGAGAATAAAGGAGAGAATCCCAAGCAAGATCCGTGCTGTCTGCATAGAGCCCAACATGGGGCTTGGTCTCATGAACCGTGAGATCATGACCTGAGCCGAAATGAAGAGGCAGCCGCTTAACCAACTGAGCCACCCAGGTGCCTCTGTATTGTTTTCAATTTCACTTTAGATAGTATATATGAAAGCAATTGACCTGTGTATATTAACCTTCTATCTTGCAACCTTTGTATAGATCACTTAGTTCCAGGAGTTTGGGGGTTTTGTTTTGCTAATTCTTTTGGATTTTGTAAGCAATCATATCATCTAAGCTGTTTTATTTCTTCCTTCCCAATCCGTAGAACTTTTCTTTTCTTGTTATTGCATTAGCTAGAATTTGCAGTATGATGTTGAAAAGGAAGTGATGAGAAGATATGGTATCCTTGCCTTGTCCCTGGTTAATAGGAAATCTTCTGGATTCTATGAAGTATGATGTTAGCTATAGGTTTCTGTAGACGTTCTTTATAAAGTTGAAGGATTTCTCCTCTATTCCTAGTTTACCAAGAGTTTTTATCATAAATGGGTTTGAATTGTGTCAAATGCTTTTTCTGCATCTATTGATAGGATCATGTCATTTTTCTTTAGCCTGTTGCTGTGATAGATTTGTTGATTTTTCAATGTTCAATCAGACTTGCATACATGAGATAAATTCCACTTGGTCGTAGTTGAACTTACATCTTTTAATACTAACAATAAAATCAATAAGTTTAGATTAGGTTCATAGGTTCAAAAAAAATGTTTTTGACTAGCCAAAAAACCCATTAAGAGCTCCTAAAACCTTGGCCTTATTAATTTAATGTAATTTAATTATCATTTTGCCAAGAATTTCTTAGAACAAGCACTCCTTCATGTGTTTTTTTACATGAATTTTAATCTATTTGTCAAAATAATATTTGTATACTTTCAGGGCCACATCAAAATACCCATACATTTTCTCTTTCTCCCTTTTTCTCCACACACACACAATTTAGTACCAATATTTTATAATTAAACTGTCATAAAACAGTAGTCTCATAACATGATACCAAATGTCTTTGTATCTTTGAATGTATTATGCAGCAAATGAAGGAGGAGAGAAAAGTTAGGAGACATAGATATACTGGTAAGTGTTTCAAAAATTATTTTTATTGTTACATTCCAAAGAGGACGTCCAAAGAAAAAAGCCAGTTATCCAATAACTGTTACACATTTCAGAAGGAGGCCCCCAGAACCCCAGAACACACTAGAGCTCAAACAGCTGCCTCTCCACCTGACCGGAAATGTTGACAAAGGTGTGTATGTCACCAATCCAGAGAGGCTTGGGGTAAAAGAAAATTCCTTTATTGCAAGTGTCCAAGTTCTTAGGATTCATCCTTAAAGATACTAGAAGAAGATGAGAAAGACCACACACACCAGACTATGTTTAGTCATTAGAGTAAACTAGCAAATTGCTAGTTTGTCCTAGGATGCATTGCATCGGACATCACAGTACATGAGGAAAATCTGCATTTTATGAAGAGCCACCAGGTATTTCAGATCCATTTTACCATGAAGTGCAGCCACAGGCGAACCAGATACCTAGATAATATAGTCAGTGCAAAATTCAAATGGGTAATTCAGGGCTTTGATGAGGCTGGCTACACTGCAAAATATAAATGAAACTTGAAAATAGAATGTTAAGTCTATTTACAAAAGTGTGTTTAGTAAAGTGACTTGAGAAAAGTTAAGCTAACCACTTCCCACACATCCCTCCCCGCCCCTGCCAGAAAAACAAAACAGAACAAAACAAAACAACAACACCTGAAAATTATCTTGAAAACCAAGTTAAAACTGTGTGGTGAAAAAGACAGTGTTTGTTCCAGGTAAAGGACTTCAAGATAATTTACAGGCAGACTTATTTTTTATTAGTAAAAGTCACAAATAGGAAAAAGGTTTATTGGTTGACTTTGAGGTGTGTGCTTTTAAAAATGTCTGTATTAATACCTTAACAAGAAAAGAAAATACCAAGCACATTTTTGTTTCCAATGCTGAATTTCCCAGCAAGAGTTGGTGAAATCAACAGGGTATTAAAACAAAACCTAGGAATACTCAGTCAATTTTTTTTCAGTTGTCTGCCTTATTTCTTTCTAATCACCTGCAGTATGATTTCCAATTAGCTGAGGACAACATGACGGTCAAAGACGGATTTTCGCTGCTCTTGAACTTGAAGCTTCCAGCGCTGCTGGGCATACTCTACCTTATTCAGCACATTGGCTCGACTGCGGGAGCGGGCTAGCACATCGTGGGCATTTGCAAAAGGCTGGTGATCCTGAAAAGTCCAGGAATGGAGAACATCAGAGGTGGCATGATAGTGTGAAACACACACACACACACACACACACACAAAACTGCCATTATCCAGCCACAGAGATAGGAGCAGCTGGACTTTACAAACAACAGACCATCTCTTTGACCAAGCACTCCTAGGCACCCAAGTGCCAGAAGCAGGATGAACTCAACTACAGTAATAGGTGGTTCAAGTAGTATGAGTGATGAGGAGGTATTTGTGAAATGTTTCGTTGAGTCACCATTTCCAAAGACATTTCCCAGAAGAAGCAGGGACCAAGACAGACAGTGGTCATTTATGTTAAAGACAAGCTTTCCCTGACAAGTAGGAGAAAGAAAATCCATTTCCACATTAATAGCTACCTGTTACAGATATGAAAAGCAGGACTTCTCCCTGTTTTATTCAATACTATATAGCTAATCTTGCAGAGGAAAGACTTGTCATTTAATTTCCTGACTCCCATTACATTAGAGTTGTTAACTTGCCAGCTTGGGGCCACATTCATCCTTGGGAGAGGAGTTGACAGGATCTTATCTTGGCTGGTTTTAATATTTCCCTGCATCTTTAACACATACACTAAATGGACTGGTTTCCAAAATCCTTTTCATTCCCCCTCCCCGAGTCTGTAAGGAAAAGAGACATAGCTCAAGTGCCACAATTACCATCTATTACCAAGGACAGTAGGAATTATTACTTCAGCCTTTTTATTTGATAAGTACTTGAATCTTTCACTCCTGGGCACTCAGGGGCTTCCATGTTAGTTGCTGCTTTTGGAAAGAAGCTACTGAAGGGTTACTCAGGTACCTGTGTAGAAAACCAAGCTATCCTGGTGAAAGTAAACCAATGCCACTGATGTTTGTAGTCATTACACAGGAAACCACTATGCTAATCTATCTATGGATTTGATATAAACACAGCTGCCTAAATGACAAAAAGCATTCAATACTAGTTCATTGCTTTTGTTTGCCTTTTCCTTGATCTTCTTCCTGAACCCTGTGTTAGCAAAGCTTCTAAATGTTCCAACATAGGATCCAAGTCACAAGTTGTACCTCTCTCATTAAACCTTGCCTCAAAGAAAGAAATATTGTTTTGCTGTGCACGTTTGCAAAAGCTCCATTATATATCCAGGGCGGGAGTCAGCACATCTATAGAAAGCTATCCATAACCACATTAACTATATATACAACTTTCACTATGTGGAGTTATAACACCTGGTCTTCTTTTTATAGAAAGACACTTACACAATGTCTACATTTCAAATACATCAAAGATTTTTCTATAAGGAATCTTTTTCCCTGCCTTCTCTGCCAAAACCGCCTCAACTTTTCACATACTTTAGGTACCAGCTTGTTACAACAAAGGCAAACGGCAAGCCCCCTGCCCCTTTAAAAAATTTTTAACCTTACAAATGAAAATAATAAAAACATATTCCATAAAGTTCAAAATGTTTCAAAGATTTAAGAAAAAAGGTCAGGAAAGAGGAAGGCTGAAGTTGTTTGATTACTTGAAATACACTGACCCGAGGTCATCTAACAAGCGAACACAAGGCTTACCTCACCTAACCTTGACTTGGTGTTACATCATCTCTACACACTGATTTTGTCCAAGTAGATTAAAATGACTCTATGGGAATATGGTGCTTCAATGAACTTGTATATAAAATAGTATTACCATTGGTTTGTTTTGACATAAACAAGAGTGGGAAGAAGGATATACTTTATCAGCAGAGCAGCTCTCAATTTCATAGTCCTGTTATCTACCCTTCAAGGTAGGGGGAGAAAAACCTTGCTAAGGGACAAATTTAAAGGACTAAACAAACCAGTTAATCCTTCTGGTCTGTTCTCCACCTATCAGAACAAGATTGAACTAGCTGCTCATGGTCATGGATGCTGGGAGAATGCAAATAGAGATTTACCCCTTTTATATGTTTGTTCTTTTTACACCTGATAAAATTACAATAAATACAAAACATGTTTTAATGCAATGCTTTGATAACAGCAATGATGTGTCATGGATACATGATACGATAAATATTGTGACTACTTGCAGTGAGCTTCTTAACTATTTGTACTAATTCTCACTTGATTTAAAACGCTGTACAGTGAACAAAAATGGAAAAAATAAAAGAATTTAACAGAATTTAATAAAGCATTTTTAAAAGCACATAAATAGTAAAGAACCCTCATGATAGATAAGCAACAATTGTAGGAATTTAAATTTAGCTTCTTTTTGTACAGAGTTGTTACCATCAATTCACAGCTGGAGGTTAGAAAACCTTTCTCTCTGCCCAGAATCAAGTCAATAGATATCCAAGAGTCAGCCAGACATCTCAGAGAACATGTTTTCAGTTAACATATGCACAGAATCAATCACTGGTGAACAAAATGGTTATTAAGCACATTACCCTACCCATCACATGACTTTCCTACATGTTTTCTTCTACACATTTGTGCATCCACTTCTTGTATGTTCTATGTGTGTTACATTATTTCTAAAATCAGGAGCCAGATATTTTATACTGCAAAGAATATAGTTTTAAGTCAGACTTTCTATCTGGGTGCCTATTATGAAATGGTTTATGTGGCCTTTAATACATAACATTTTCATGTTAGTTCCCAACTGGGAGTGTTTTGCCCCCCAGGAACATTTGCCAATATCCGTGGACATTTCTGATTATCATGATTGGGATAAAGGGTGCCACTGGCATGTAGGGGGCAGAGGTCAAGGACGCGGCTAAGTACCTTACAATGGACGGGAGAATACCCCACAACAAAGAATTATCCAACCCAAAATGTCAATACTGTTGAGGTGGAGAAAATCTGTCATATGTGAATGAAAAGTAACATGGGAACAGTATTTGAGACTCTAATGCTTCTGGTATACAACCTCCTGTGCTTCTAGCTCTCTTGTCCCGTTAGCCCCGTATGCCTAGTTTTTGCCCACATCAGATCTCCAGTCTTGACCTTTCTCCCAGCCTATCACTCCCTGCCTTGAATTCTTACAAAATAAATAGGCGTTTGTTACATGTTTAAAAATAAAAGGTGGAAACGTACTGTAATTAGTCATTTCTTTTATGTGTCTGTCTCTGTTTCATTCATCTCTTTATTCCTAGTCCCTAGCAGAGGACCTGATACAGAAAAGTTACTCATTATGTATTGGTTGAATTAATAAGGAAGCAAGGAAAAAAGAGGCAGAGGTGTTTCTATGAAAGTTCTTGACAAAACATAAATGAAATCTTGCCCAAATCAGTTAAGTATTCATAACTGATATTCATATGATAATGTATTCATTGAAAAGTAGGCTCTGTTTGTAGTTATAACTCAAGCCATCTAGTCAGGATATCCTCTTCCCATCTTTTAGCAACAAGTCCACAAGCAATTCCAGAGTAAAAGGACTTCTGACTATGGTTGGCAAGGGCTCATGCTGGCTTAAGCTTTTGGGATTGGCTCTTGAAACTGTTGAATTTTACCCATTTTAAGGAACATAGGCCAATAGAGTAATCCAAAATAAAAGTAATTTCTGAAAATATGTACATATACAAGAATGAAATAGTAGAAAATTTGGAAAGAGGCCCAAACAGGATAATAACAAAACAATATAATTCTCTAAGTTATACTGAATAAATAACAAGTCTGTGGAGTATGTTCATTACTAGACATTTGTGAATGAAGTAATGTTAACATAAAAAGGAGACCACAAACTAATTTACACACATTATACCAAGTATATGTACAAATATAAATGTGTTTTGAAGACAGGAAGAGAATTGAGAATGATAGTTTTATTTTCCTTCAAAGATTTTTTTTTTTAGAAGGAGGGAAAAAGAAATATAAAACATCAGCAGGTTATCAAGCTGCACCTCATTAAGAAAAGAACATTGTCTTCATGCTTCCCTTCACTAAAGCCTCTGCCCTCTAATATATTTGGTCATGCTGACGGGAAAGGTATTCAGGCAGGAGCTTGGGGAGAAATCTATCTCAGAAGCTTTTCTCAGTGTAAACAGGGAAAGGCAATGAAGATTGTGCCCTTGATACTAAAGGGCAAAGCCTTGCGCAGCACACTCACCAAGTTTAAACTACCATATTGATGGCTTTACAGAGCAATTTCCTCATGAAGAGACATATACTACAATCAGACCAGTCCTTAGCTTCTCTATTTGAGCATCTGCTCCAGCACATGAACATCTATATGCGACCATTTTTCACTTGCTCTTTGTATCAGATGAGGACAGAGACTGGCCTCACAGCTAGGGCAAGCCAAGTACTTACCCCAACATCATCATCGCTCTGTATCAATTGTGAGTGTCCAAACAGGCGTCTCTTCAGTATGGGCTCAACAAGGGTAAGATACACCATGTACAGAAGTAGAAGGCCCAAAATGGAGAGATAAATTATAATGGTAACCTGAAGGAAATTGAAAATAAGTTAATCTCTATTCAAGCCAAGAAATCAGAATTTTGTGTAATAATGACACCACAGTGAAGACTGATTTTTCAGCAAAGCATATAGGATTCTTATACAAACCAGATTCCAACATAAACAAACTCAACTCTTCACCAAAGTATTATTTAAATAGAACGAGGAAAGTAAGCATGTTGTCTTTGAGATCTTTTTGCAAGTTTTCAAAACTCCGTCTTCACCTACTGATAATCATCTGTCAAAGCTGCTAGCACACAATTTGCTTTTTTCACCTGAAGATGGTATCCTAGATTCAGCACCACTGTGTTAAGACAACTTAAAGGAACGCTTACAAAAAATGTAATTCAGATGAATTTCAACAGAATACTCTTTTAGATCAATTTAGATATACAAAAATACACTTCAGGTCAGTGATTTCCCTAAGATCTTAATTTGTATGCTGTCAAAAAGTACAGACTCTGGAATGGCTATAATTAAAGACAGACAGTGCCAAATGTTAGCAAGAATGTGGAAAACATGAACCCTCATACATTGCTGGTGGGAATGTAAAATGGTACAACCACTTTGGAAAACATTCCAGCAGTCTCTTAAAAGTTAAAATAAACTTATCTCTCTAAGGAATCTACCTGAGAGGAAAACATATATTCACACAAAGACATGTGCACAGATATTTATGACAGATATTTATTATTTATTCATAATAATCAAAATGTGGAAATAACTCAAATGTCTATCAGCTAATGAATGGATAATGAAAGTGTGGTATATTCATATACTAAAATGCTATTCAGTAAAAAAAAGGAATTAAATACTGATAACGTGCTAGAACATGGATAAACCTTAAAAACATACTAAGTGAAAGAAACCAGCCACAGAAGACCACATATTGTATGATTCTATTCATATGAAATATCCAGATCTGTAGAGACACAAAGCAGAATAGTGATTGTCAAGGGCTAAGGTGTGGGAATAAGATTAACTGTAAATAGGCATGAGGGATCTTTTTGGGGTGATGGGAATGTTGTAACACTAAATCTAAAAATTTTTTTTAATTGTTTTAAATTTCCCCAAATTTATTCAATTATACACTTACAATGAGTGACTTTCAGGGTCACTCATGTGTAATTACACATCAAAAATTTAGTTGAAAAATAAAAACGTACAGTGAGGATTTCTCTACTGGATAGCATCCTGCTGGAACAGAAACTCTCCCACAGAAATCTTTGTAATTGTTACACTGACCACCCCAGATTCTTCATGAAGTCTTTTCTCAGGGAAAATGAATAGGAAGTTCCATGTAAAAAATTAGGGAGGAGAACTGTTAGCCACCATAATAAAGTAATTTAATTCATTAGAGGTCCAAATGGTGAGGAGAGTGACCTATATTCTATTTCCTATAAGAAATAAAGAAAGGAAATCTTAGAATCCAGAAGTGTTATTTCTAGAACAAAGTAGTCTATTTATACAATTTTTTTCCCTAAGGGTTGAGAAGGCAGGAAGAAGAGGGCCTAGTCATGCTGTGCTTTTACTAGCTTCTGGCAAACATGGCCCACAAAAAAGCCAGGATATGTTTTGGGATATACATGTAGGGCATTTTTGTGCCATTTCATATCACACCTATGTATCGTGTCCTAATAAACCCACAAAGTATCTCAATGAGGTGGGCAGAGAGCAGGCCCACTGTTCTCTGGGGTTGATATTGAGGGTGAGGAAGGAAAAGTGTTCGTGGGTGGTGAGGAGGGGAGAGAAGAACAGTACTTGAGTGACTAAAATAGAATCCAGATGTCCAAAATTTTCTTGTCTAGATACCATGAAGAACTATTCCAGAAGCAAAAAAGATGAATTTTTTTTTTTTTTTTTACCTTGATCGTAACAGAGCTTCTTTCCTCGTACTTGCATTCACAGCGTAGACAGTATGCTTCTACATCAGGCCCGCGCACGGGCATGGGATCCACAACATGAAGGCAATCGCTGAAAAAACAAAGATAAAAATACTGCATCAGGCTACCTGGATGTTCTACTTGTACTGATCAAAACTTTCCTGAAATCCAGAATAATCACTGACCTTACCCAATTACAGAATTTAAGGAACAACTAATAAGGGAAGTGAAATCATTTGCTTTCTCAATATTAGCAATTTAGTGAGATTTAACAGTCTAAGAATCATAAAGACATATATCAAGTAGCTATTTTCAAAGTGTTGCTTGTTGGAGCGCCTGGGTGGCTCAGTCGGTTGAGCATCTGACTTTGGCTCAGGTCATGATCTCGCGGTCTGTGGGTTCGAGCCCCGCATCGGGCTCTGTGCTGACAGCTCGGAGCCTGGAGCCTGCTTCAGATTCTTGTCTCCCTCTCTCTCTGCCCCTCCCCCACTCATGCTTTGTCTCTCTCTCTCTCTCTCAAAAATAAATAAACATTAAAAAAAGAAGTTAAAAAAAAAGTGCTGCTGTTAACAGTTAAAAATCCCAAAAGGCATTGAAAATTACTTAGCATATCAAGTTATATTTAGACTTGTACAGTTACCAAGAAAAACTGCTTTAAATGATTTAAAGTATCTTGGGGCATTGTTCAAATATGAGATATCTCTTTTATGAATGAATTTAGTCTTAACTGCCACAGTGTGGTATCTGAATGGCTAATCACACTTAACAGTTGGTAAATTCTGAAACTCTGAACACTCAAAGGCACAGTAAAAAACAATTACTTTTCTTAATGAGCAAAGGTCTATTGAAAAAGCATGGGAAAATAGGCTTAGGACAACAAAAATATTTAAAAGTGCAAACTGATTACCCAGAAGTATATAAAAAATAATAAAAGGCTGAATATTTTTGTTGTTGGATATTCTTTATTTTCCCCCCATTTTCCAGGCCACTTATGAAAAAAGAAATTCTATCCAAAAAATCTATCCCCAGAAATCTGTGAATTCTAGGAAATAATTAAATTATTACTCTTCCCAGCTATTAAGAGCCTACTACTCTGTTCACCTTCAGCAAAAGTAGGCAAGGGGCACCTGGGTGGCTCAACTGATTAAGTATCCGACTTCCACTCAGGTCATGGTGGCTTGTGAGTTCAAACCCCACGTCGTGCTCTCTGCTGACAGCTCAGAGCCTGGAGCCTGCTTCAGATTCTATGTCTCCCTCTCTCTCTGCCCCTCCCCCGCTTGTGCTCTGTCTCTCGCTCTCAAAAATAAATAAACGTTAAAAAACTTTTTTTGGGGGTGCCTGGGTGGCGCAGTCGGTTAAGCGTCCGACTTCAGCCAGGTCACGATCTCGCGGTCTGTGAGTTCGAGCCCCGCGTCGGGCTCTGGGCTGATGGCTCAGAGCCTGGAGCCTGTTTCTGATTCTGTCTCCCTCTCTCTCTGCCCCTCCCCCGTTCATGCTCTGTCCCTCTCTGTCCCAAAAATAAATAAACGTTGGAAAAAAATAAATAAATAAATAAATAAAATAATAAAAATAAAAATAAAAAACTTTTTTTTAAAAAGTAGGCAAAAGTTTCCTGTCCTGCCAGCTGCTGGGCAATTTTCTTTTGTCATCTCTTCTTTAGGCACTTCCGACTGCCTAAAGAACTCTACGATAGCATCCTGTCTCACCCCACCCATCTTTCTTGGGGGCACACAATTCTCTAGGCTACAGCTTTTCCTTTGCTGTACTTTTTTATGTCCCATTCCCTCAAGCCATGGCATAAGAGAGAAAACCCAAAATGGCATAAATGATAAAAATTCCATCAGTTATCCCTAACAGGTTATTTAATTTTAACAAAGGTACTAATGAAAAAGAAACCTCAACTGGTAGTATGGTAAGGTAATCTATCTCAGAATCCTAGCCCAACACTTTCATAGAACCCAGGGCTCCTACCACCTAGGTCAGCTCCCCTGTATTTCTCTAAACCTCAGGAAAATAAGACTTATCTCCTAGTTTCCTATTTCAGCTTCAGAAGCCTTCATAACAATACCCAGGAATTACTTGAGAATCTAAATGTTGAGTACTGAGTGTTTCTTTTTAAATACTGATGTAGTTTAATAACAAGGAGATATTGAGCATTGTGCAAAAGTTGTGCGGGGTGGGAAAGGAAGCAGGAAGGTTGGTTCTGGGTGGCTGGTCATGATAAACACAGAACCCAGGTAAAGAACGCAACCACTCTGGGAACGAGGCAACACCTCCCCCTAGTGCCAAAAGGAGGACTTACATCATATCCCAAACACAAACCAGAGAACTCAAACTTTTCTTAAGTTAGACAGTATAAGTCAATAAAGAATTAATGCCAACAATGGATGAAATGGAAGCCACAAGGTAAAGCTATACCTAGGACCAAATAGTTATTGGAGGCTTTGTAAAGCCATAACATCCTGGTTAATCATAACCTGCCTACCCTTTTAAAGCCAGCTAATAACTGAGAACGTATCCTCAGTAAAAGGCTGAGCTGCAGGAAGGAAGCAAGGGAGAGAGGGAAGAAAAATCAGAAACAAGCTTTGTTCTCAGTTGTTTATTTTCAAAGCCCCCTATTTTGACCAATACCCAAAGATGAATGGCATATGGTTCTGTCTGAACCTGGAATTATAAAGTCAGTGAAAAGATCAGTGCTAAACACTTGAAGAGTGAGTTTACCTGCCCCTCCAATAACAGGCATCATATTCTATTAATAATAATAGATTAACCTAAATGTGTTTAATGTATTTGGAAAATTTATAGGAATAACGTAATTTATTTGAGCTTTCTTATATCATAAAAGTAACTTGATGATATACAAATCTATAAGAATATAGCTAAATCACTTTGTAATATGAGACATTTATTTGTTTACTTTTGAGAGGCAGCATGTGAACGGCCATGAGTAGGAGAGGGGCAGAGAGAGAGAGAGAGAGGTAGAGAGAGAGGTAGAGAGAGAGAGAGAGAGAGAGAGAGAGGTAGAGAGAATCCCAAGCAGGATCTGCACTGTCAGCATAGAGCCCAACGTGAGGCTCAAACTCACAAACCATGAGATCATGATCTACGCCAATATCTAGAGTCAGATGCTTAACCGACTGAGACACCCAGGCGCCCCTCTAATATGAGACAATTTAAAGTGGAGCATGGAAGTTCACAAGCAATTTTCAAGAACACACTTATCAAATATCAGACTGAACCTAAATGCATATCATGGGAAGAACAGACAACAGTATCAGAAAAAATACACATGCTCAAAGGCTACCTTTTCTTTTTCAAAATCAATTTGGAATATTGTAACCAAATGAACTTAATTTTTGCTTTCAAAAATTTTGCTGTATATTTAGTTGTGAAATCAGGTATGTGTGAAAAGTTCCTAGCATAAAGAGCTATTTTTCTTGTAAGCCTATCCCAGCAATATTCCACCATGGTTACAAACCATAAAATATCACAATTTCATGAGAAGGAGCCCATCCATCCTGCTACAAAACAACTGCTTCCCAATCATTTTATGCCATATGTGGAAAACTTATCATTTGTCAGGTCCATAAATAGAGGGGGCTACTGGTGACCAGTGAGGCAAGATCCCCATCATCATAGGCCTGCTTGATTACCCCAAGGGCTGAGGGAGTTCTTGACACACCTGAAACCATGACATACCGACTGGGAAACTATGCTATACACGGCTCCTTCCCATTCCGTCCTGAGCCTTTTGACACTTCTAAACATAGTCTCCTATGTAGTTGGCAATATATCATCAAAACCTACAAGGTGTGAAAATTATAACCCAGATAAATGAGGCTTGCTTACCTTCCACTGAAAAGCAAGAGGGAGGACTAAGATAGCCAGAAGGTAGCTATGGGCAGGTAGGTGCCACAAACTCAATTCCATCCCTTATAAAATGCTCCCTACTTGGGGTTTTGTGTTTTGGCCATATTCCTTTAAGTTTACATCAAGCACGCAGAGCCTTACTCTCACTTTTTCAAATGGAAGTGGAATTTGACACTTACAATTAAAAAGAAATACAGGTGACCCTTGAACAATAAGGGTTTGAACTGCATGGGTCCACTGTACACAAATTTCTTTCAGTAGACACAGTAAATGTATTTTCTCTTTCTTATGACTGTCTTAATATTTTCTTTTTCTAGCTTACTTTATTGTAAGAGTAAAGCACAAAATACATATAACATACAAAGTATGTGTTAATTAACTATGTTACTGGTGAGCCTTCTGGCCAACAGTAGGCTATCAGTAGTTAAGTTTTGGGGGATATTTTTGACTGTACCAGGGTCGGCACACCTAAGCCCTACGTTGTTCAAAGATCAGCTGTACCTAAAAAGGAAACAATACATTGGATAAACATTCTGGGCTAACAATGACACCCATAGAAAGAAATTTGACAGGTAATTCAGTAATCTAGAATACTTACCAATCTTTTTGGGATATGTTCTTATTATAAATATGCCCAGAATTATCTTTATAGGGAGGACAGATACATTTACATCGGACATCCTCGAAGTTCTGTAACCAAAATGGAAACTTAGTATAGCTTGTTGACATGTTAGCATCGATATTTTTTTAAAAAACTGTACCATATACATTTTACTAAGCATCCCCTGTCAAATATTCTAAAACCATTAATTCTGAGAAATAAAACTTTTAAAAAGTCAGGTTCTTTTTGGTAATGCTAGTGAATCTTTATATATTACATAAAATTATTTTGAAATAATACCTGTACATGATCTGTGGTTTATTACTTACAATTTACAGGTCATACGACAGTCAAACTGTGCTAATGTTATCACCCTCTGCCTGCTAGTAAAAAGACACAGCAGACAGCTGTGCCTGCAAATAAGAATCCAATTACAAAAGGATGGGGAAGAATCAAACTAAATATTACTTATAAAACAAGTCACAATTCTTTTATCCACCATTCTTCCACCCTCTGGTAAAATGGCATTGATATGTATAAAAGGGGTTGTACTAGAACTCTATACAAGGTATGAAGTTTTAGAGGCACTCAGCTACAATTTAGAAAGGAAGTACACAGGGAAGTAGCTGAGTCTAGCTGAGATCAGTTTGGTCTACCCTTCCCAGGAAACTTTGCTTCCAATTCTGGTAGACAGAGAGTATAACTACTGATAAGCAAGTTGCAAGAGGTGGAGAAAGAGGTGACTAAATATAGGAGTACAGGGGGTAGGAGAAGCTTCATTAACAAAAGGGAATTTATCTGAGAAGGCAGCGGCTCATTAGTCCCCAGAGGACAAGGCCCAGTGTTGCTATATGTGTGATGCTATGTGTGGCAGAACTGTTGACAATGCATTCATTCATTCAGCAACCACTTAGTGAGCATCTGTTCAGTACCAGAACTTGTACTCAAGGAAGTAGATTCAGATTCCTGCCAGTTATTAGGACACACCCTAGTAATGGAGACTGACAAACAAATACATGATTACAATACAATACTTAAAGTGACACAGGAGATATGCAGAGGATGCCAGCAGTGTTCTGAAAGTCAGGAGAAGCTGCTGTCCCTGTTTCTGGTGGGAGGTAGGGAAGATTTCAAAAAGAACTCCCAGTTAAAAAACCCCTGATATGTCTGCATGTAACCCGTCTTTCCCAGCCCCTATATTTAAAGATATTATAGATTAAATCTCCTATTTTTAAAAAATGCAAATGTCATTGTTTCCCCATGACATTAATGCGAATTCCTTCTGTTTTCTCCAAGAAGGAGCTAGCTCATCAAGGAGGAAACACAAGTGTGTATGGGGCCAGAGCACGTCTGGAGGGTGGGGGCATGAAGGGGATTAAAGAGCAGCATGAGGAGGCTAGAAGGACCAAGAACTGGAGCAGGGGAGAAGGCCACAACTTCACCTCTCCTGCAGTTTGGATCCTCCCTTCTCCCCTAAATTATCAGGGAAAGAGAAGGCAAAAAAGGGCCAAGAGATCCCAGAATGAGTTAGGTTAGTTTACTAGGCTGGTGAGAGAGACTCTGTGTAGGTCCTATTAGGAAGGAAGGCTGCCAGGAAAGGCAAGTTCTTACCCTGGGGAGGGAATCGTTCAGGGATGAGTTGAAATGAGTCAGTTCCTAAGAGGGAAGATTTCCGTGACATGGGGGCTTCCTATCACTTTGGCTTAGGGAATGGAGCGGGAGGGTGAGGAAGAGGGCTGTCTGTGAGGCAGGTAGAGGGCGGCGGTAGACTGTCTGGAGCTTAATTAAGGGTGGAAAGTTAAAGGCTCTTAGAGTTGGAAAGGCTGTAAAGTTTCAGGTGGGTGCTGTAGGGGCTGGGAAGGGAAGTGTCTAGGAGCTAGAGGAGTTGCCTCTCCAGGCTGTGCGCACTGTCAGGGCTGGGTGGAGCTGGGGCCGCAGGCGGGGTATCAGGCGGGAAAGAGGAGAGTAGTGTCGGGGCTAGGGGTGGGAGTGGGGGCAGTGACTGTCAGACTGTCAGGACCAGAGGGCGAGAGTGCTATCAGGCAGTAGGGTGTTGGGTGGGGGGTTTGCTAGGGCTGTGAAGCCAGGGGTAGGGCTGGCAGGGCTGGGAGAGTAGTGGGGTGGGGAGCAGGTTGACAGACTCAGTTTCCGCAAGGCCAGGGGCAGGGGAGGAGCTCCAGTCTGGAGCGCAGGCTGGGCAGACTCACCTTGGCGGCGTCTGACAGCTGCACCAGCAGCAGCACTGAGAGCGCCAGGCAGGAAAGGCTGAGCAAGGAGCCAAGCCGTAGAAAGCCTCCCCACAGAGTCGCCATCGCTGCCAGGCCCAGCAGTTCCCACAGCCCGGAGCCCGCCCCCGAGACCTGCTCCCGGCTGGGGCTCAGTCTCGGGCTCCGGCTCCGGCTCCGGCTCCTCCGCCCGCACTTCCGTCTGGGCTTTGGCGTCACGGCCGCGCCGGGTCAGCTACAAAAGCTTCCGCCCCGGAAGCGGTTCCCGGTGCTAAGGGTCCAGAGGCTGCGCCGTGCCGACGCCTGTCCCGCGTACACTCGGACCGCGAAAATGAAAGGGGAGCCTCCGGGGGCGCAGCCTTGGCCTGGCAGAACTTTGAGGCGCGAGGCTGCCTTTCTCGGATGCAGTAGCAGTGGGGGTTGTGGACCGCCAGTGCTCTGTAAAGTCCGCTCGCCCAGGGAGACCCCCAGTAAGCCCAGGAGCTGAGATGGGAACCTCCAGCGACCCCTGCGAGGCCGGAGCCGTTCGTTGCCAGACGCTAGGCTGCAGTGAGCCCAAGCCCCAGGGATTGCTTGAGAGGGCGGCCCATCCCGCAGGCGCAGGTGGGCGGGTGGCAGGCGTGGAAACGGAGCTATGGGACTGACTGGCCGAGCCATCCTTTCCCGGGAAGCCTAACCCCCTCAACCAGGGGTTTGGGGTCCTCTCTGGCACTTTGGGTACCAACCTGTCGCCCGTGCGCCTCTCGAACGCCGCTCCCCGCAGGGTTTTTAAGTCTCTGCTTTCGTGGGTCTGGCTTCTGTTTAGGTCTCCCCACTTGCCTCCCGCTGGGGGCTGACCGTCTAGGCTCACCCTGATGCCGGAACTGGGCCACAGCGACGCGGCGTGGGCCAGGCCAGGGCAGGCTCCGCAGGGTGTGGAGTTGGAGAAAGAACCACCCTAGTGGCCTCCTCTGCCCAGGACTCCAGAAGGTGGGGGATCCCGGTGCTGCAATCCTATTCAGGGCGACTGGCCCCTAAGTCAGAGTTGGGGGAGCGCTGACCGGTCTTTCCAGTGCAGGTCATCCTCTATAGGTGATTTAGAACCCTGGAGATGGCACAGTGTCTCCAATTAAAATATTTTTCACTTAGTGGAGAGTGGAGCTGGATAATGGAAAGGATACAGGGTTCATCACCACTACTACAGATTTGCTGAATGACTAGGCAAAACACTTACCTTTTCTGAGCCTCTGGTTCTTGGTTCAGTATGAGATTGAACTTTTATCTGTGGATTTCAAATTGTCCCATGGGACACCCATGTTTCTTTCTTTAAACAAAACTTACAGGTTTTTCCTGGTTTGCAGAAATGTTTTCATAGAATTTTTTCGGTATTTTTCTCCCATGTGATTATTGTTGATGCTAGAATGTAACACAAGGTGTCTGATGTTGCCCCCCAAATATTTAACCTCTTTCGATCCCAAATGGCACCTAGTCCCAACCAGAATCAGAGGGGTAGGACTAGATGACCTTCCATCAAAGTCCCTCCAGGCTGCCCTGTGAAGATACTGTCACATTAGTGAAATATCAAGTCTTTGTTGTGGGTGGTCTGTTGGCCAGAGAACAACCTGGAGACACCTGAGGTCAGATGTGCCTATGAACCATTGTGGATCTGAGATTGCTAAAAGCAAGTTTGGGATCAATTTAGGGTTAATTGTCTAGGTCTGGCATTTAAAGGGAGTACTCTGGCTAAAACCTCATAGGCTTTTTCTTCAAAATTGTTCTCCCTTGACTGGGAGTACAAAGGCTTAAAATAAATATATAGTAATGCCTCTGATAGGCCTCATCTGTTTAATGGAGAAATACCAAGTACACTCATGGAAGCAGAATTTTAAGGTTACACTGTCCAATACATAGTCACTAGTCACATGTGGTAATTGAGCACTTGAAATGTGACTAGTCTGAGTTGAGTGTAGAATAGACATTGGATTTCAAAGACTTAATACAAAAAAACCCCAAAATATCAATATTTTTATATTAAGGTTGAAATATTTCAGATACATTGGATTAAATAAAATTATTAAAATAATTTCATTTGCTTCTTTTTACTTCTTAAACGTAGCTAGTAGAGAATTTACTATTTATGTTAGGTATCACTGTTGTAGAATATGGAATATGGCTACCATGAGTGAAGAGTGACTGTAAGATGGTTGCCTGGCTGGAGGCTGAATGAAGACTCAGGCTTGGGTAAAGAGAAAGGTGACTGGGAGGAATTGGCACATCTGGAGCCAAGGGTTTAGGGGAGGTAGATCTCCGCCAAAAAAAAAAAAAAAAAAGAAAGGAAAGAAAGTAATTTTAGGTGATGCAAAAGAAGTAGAGAGGTTAGTTCCTCTTGTTCTGCCCTGCTCACACCTAGATAACACTTTCCCCTTAGGTCGGGGGTCTTCTAAGCTAGAGAGACTTACCTGACTTAAGTGCACTCCCTTCTGTGTTTGTGCAAATACCTCATAACTTACCCCATTATGGTAAAATTATGTTTTCACATCTGCTTCTATATTCCCAGCCTCCACTCAAATATTGCAAGCTCTTTGCGGGCAGGGACTTTGCCTATTATCTTTGTACCTGGAGACTGGGATAGTGTAAAAACCAATAAATGTTTGTGGGGATCCAGAAAAGGGAAAGGGTGAACAGGAGAGGTTCCTCTGGTCTGTGTCAAACAACCAGGTACCTACTTGAATCCCTACTTGATTCCTTTCTGATCATTAGAAGGTGATGCTGAGCCCAAAGAACTATGGATGGGATCTGGGGCACCATAGTAGGCAGGAGAGTGGAGATTTCTGACATAGGATCTTCCTAGACCTTCAGGCCACATCAGAGTTCTTTTTATAGGAAAGACTGGCCTTAGTACCCAATCTTTTCCCTTAGTCAGAATCCACTCTTCCCCTCCTTTTTTCTTCCCTGTGACTAGGTTTCCCGACTTCATTCTTTTTTAAGGAGTGACATAGATCCAGGGGCACCTTCACACTTGGCCTGGGCCCTCTCACTTCTTTTTGAGGGCTGAAAATTTCCCTGGTGGGGGGATTTAAATGTGGAAGTTAGAAGGTTGGGAAGGACAGAAGCAACAACCTAGGACAAGTGTATCTGGGACCAAGGTTTTGCCAGCTCTGTCTGTAGCCTCCTCACCTCCTTTCCCCTCCAGTGATCAAACAGCTCTCTGGATGCCCCTTTCTTATTTCTCCACCCTACCCGATCTACTCAACACTTTCCCAGGCCATGCCAGTCCAGAACAAATGGAGTCATGCACAACATCAATGATGATGGTTTCCTTGGATTGTGCCTGTAGTGGTTATGGCAGGACAGGACACACACACACACACACACACACACACAAGTTCTTCCAGTTATTTCTGAGCATACCCAGGAATGTCTTATATGAGCCCTCTCCTTTACCACGTGCGTGACTAGGATACTTCCTCCTACTTGACCTCCTTTAGTGAGATTTTCTGCCCTCTGCTGCCTGTAAAGCTGTGTTAAGTGTGCCATGCCACATCACTTGCTGGTCCCCACCATGATATTAATATATGGGGCCAGCATATTCTCCCTATTCGTAGAAATGCTGGTGCAACTATTGCTGATAAGTTACTGGAGTCCCTAAAATAACAAAACAATACAAGGTTTAGTACCAAAGCTGGGAGAATCTTAAGAGTTTCTTTCAGAAGACTGCTAAATCTGCATTGTTGGTCTCCCAGTGTTCTAAGGGAACACTTAAGGATAACAGTCCCTCCTCTCTAAACCATTATGATTTTCAAATAAATGAAATCTACATTTGTGTTTTTTACCAATATAGTATATTTTAAAAAATCAAATAGGATTTCACAGCAGACTCTGCCCCAGCCCTCTATACTCTCAATTTCAGCTCCTCAGAGACAACCCTTTTTTTTTTTTTTTTTTTTTTACCTTTTAGCTATCTCTTGGGATTTATGTCTATCTATCTATCTATCTATCTATATATATTTAATGTTTATTTATTATTGAGAGATAGAGCAAGACAGAGCATGAGCATGGGAGGGGCAGAGAGAGGAGGACACACAGAATCTGAAGCAGGCTCCAGGCTCTGAGCTGTCAGCACAGAGTCTGACGCGGGGCTCGAACCCACCAACTGCAGGATCATGACCTGAGCCGAAGTTGGACACTCAACCAACTGAGCCGTCCAGGCGGCCCTCTCCATACATATTTTTTAATGTCTGTTCATTTATTTTGAGAGACAGAGTGTGTGAGCAGGGGAGAGGCAGAGAGAACAGGAGAGAGAATCCCAAGCAGGATCCGCACTATCAGTGCAGAGCCAGCCATGGGACTGATCTCACAAACCAAGAGTTCACGATCTGAGCTGAAACCAAGAGTTGGATGCTTAACCAACTGAGCCACCCAAGTGCCCCTCTCCATATTTCTTAATAACATGCTTATACTACTAGTTCTTGATTTTTCAGTTTGGTCTATTATTTTACCTCTTGCTATAGGAAGTAGACTATGCATTTATACTTTAATGCCCTCTCATAAACACATATTTCTCTATCCTTCAATGTATTTAATAACACCTTAGGTAAATAACCATTCATTATATTATGACTACGTATTATTCATAGTTGACCCCATTAGCATAATACTAAATTTTGGCTTTTTGACTGAAATTAGCCATTGCCTCTTTTTCCATGCTTTCTTTTTTTTTTTTTTTTTTAATTTTTTTTTTCAACGTTTATTTATTTTTGGGACAGGGAGAGACAGAGCACGAACGGGGGAGGGTCAGAGAGAGAGGGAGACAGAGAATCAGAAACAGGCTCCAGGCTCTGAGCCATCAGCCCAGAGCCTGACGCGGGGCTCGAACTCACGGACCGCAAGATCGTGACCTGGCTGAAGTTGGACGCTCAACCGACTGCGCCACCCAGGCGCCCCATTCCATGCTTTCTTAAGTGGCTAGCACTCAAGTATCTATAATTAATTTATCTGAAAGCCTTCTCTCAATACATTCAAATAAATCAGGGAGGCTATCAGTTTGTTTTTTAAACTGGAGACAACCCTCTAAGAATCCATCATCCTCCCTCACTCTGGACCAGTTGTTCTCTAAGCCTACTGCACAGCTTTTGTCCTAGGATAATTTATCGTTTCTTCCCTTTTCTACTTTTTTTCCTGAAATATTTACATATTCCAAATCTTCTTTTGAATTTTTATATTTCAGTTATC